AAATGACAACAAACTCAGAATTATTAACAACCACACCTAAAACAAAAACAAACTAAGCAATCAACTAGAACAAGAACAGAACCACAGAAATAGAGATCACATGGAGGGTTATCAGCAGGGGAGTGGGAGGAGGAGAGAGGGGGAAAGGTACAGAGAATAAGTAGCATAGATGATAGGTAGAAAATAGGGGGAGGGCAAGAATAGTATGAGAAATGTAGAAGCTAAAGAACTTATGACACATGGACATGAACTAAAGGGGGGAATGTGGGTGGGAGAGGTTGTGCAGGGTGGAGGGGAGTGAAGGGGGGAAATGGGACAACTGCAGTAGCATAATCAATAAAATATATTAAAATACATAAATAATAATCAAGTTTTTAAAAGTATGTTTTATTGATTATGCAATTACAGTTGTCCCAATTTTTTTTCCTCATATCTCTCTCCTTTCTGCACTCCCCACTCTCCAGCTCCACCCCCATCCCGCCCCCAGTTATGTCTGTGGGTCGTACACATAAGTTCTTTGGCTTCTCAATTTCCTATACTATTATTAACCTCCCACTGTTTATTTTGTGTTTACCTATTTTGCTTCTTATTCCTGTACCTTTCCCCACCCTTCTACCCTACTCCACTGATAACCCTCCATGTGATCTCCATTTGTGTGATTCTGTTCTTGTTCTAGTTGTTTGGTTGGTTTTTTTTTTTAGGTTCAGTTGTTTAGCTGCAAGTTTGTTGTCATTTTACTGTTCATAGTTTTGATCATCTTTTTCTTAGATAAGTCCCTTTAACATTTCATAAAATAAGGGCTTGGTGATGATGAACTCCTTTAACTTGACCTCATCTGGGAAGCACTTTATCTGCCCTTCCATTCTAAATGATAGCTTTGCCGGATAGAGTAATCTTGGATGCAGGTCCTTGCCTTTCATGACTTTCCAGCCCCTTGAATACTCCTTTCCAGCCCCTTCTTGCCTGCAAGGTTTCTTTTGAGAAATCAGCTGATAACCTTATGGGAGCTCCTTTCTAAGTAACTCTCTCCTTTCCTCTTGATGCTTTTAAGATTTTCTCCTTATCTTTAATCTTGGGTAACTTAATTATGATGTGTCCTGATGTGTTCCTCCTTGGGCTCAACTTTTTTGGGACTCTGAGCTTCCTGGACTTCCTGGACATCTACTTCCTTTGCCAGGTTGAGGAAGGTCTCCATTATTTTTTTGAATAAGTTTTCAATTACTTGCTCTTCCTTTTGTCCTTCTGGCACCCCTATGATTCAGATGTTGGAATGTTTAAAGTTGTCCCAGAGCTTTCTCAGCCTCTCCTCACTTTTTTGAGTTTTTGTTTCTTCTTTTTGTTTCGGTTGGATTTTTATTTCTTCGTTTGTTTTAAATCATTGATTTGAGTCCTGGTTTCCTTCCCTTCACTGTTGGTTCCCTGTATATTTTCCTTTATTTTACTTTGCATAGCCTTCGTTTCTTCCTTCATTTTGTGACCGAGCTCAATCAATTCTGTGAGCATCTTGATTGCCAGTGTTTTGAACTCTGCGTCAAATTGGGTGTCTATCTCCTCGTTGCTTAGTTCTTTTTGTGAAGTTTTGATCTCTTCTTTCATTTGGGCACTATTTCTTTGTCTCGGCACACCAGCCTGGATAAATGTTTCTTTAACTCCTTGGTTTTGGCCTCTCCTATCACCCAATCTGGGTACTCATGAAGCATCTTTTGTTTGGGCAGAGTATATCTGCCTCTTGTAGTTGAGCCTTGAATGCTGTTGGCATTCAAGATCAGTGGGAGGGATTTACCCAGGCCAGTCAGCCACCAACCTCCACCATCTGTGAAGGATCAGCTGTGCAGGCACAGGGTGGTAGTGTTCCAACGCAGTCTACAACTGTCCACCTGGTGCACAGATTCTATGGTTTCTTGGGTGGTGCAGGCCAAGGTCAGCCCCTACCTGTGTTTTAACCCAGGGCCACCCTACCTGGGCTATAAAGCAGTCTGTGCTGGTTGCTACTGGTGCTGAGCTTGGTGATTCCCAGGAGAATATAAACTGTGAATGTAGGCTGGGTGCAGCTAGTTCCAGGCCTTGGGCCATTTAGCAAGAGGTACAGGGGCTGGGAGCTCACTGAGGCTGACTGTTGTTTGTTTTAGAGGATTTAGGAAGTCGTGAAGCATAAACCAATAATAGTTATTCAAATGGAAAAGTCTCTGTAACATCTTGGGTGGGCCCATAAGTTGGGGATCTCCAGGGGAGGGCATTCAGTGTTATTAAGTTGATGGAGTCTCAGATAATGGTACCCTTCTGCCAGCTCTGTGGCTCTGTGAGGGGAAGGTTCAGAATAGGGACAGTGACCTCTCTGTGTGGGAGAAAGCTGTCCCTTAGCTCTTGCCTTAATGCCAGACCCTTCACTTCCTTCCTGTATGCCACTGGTGCCTTTCAAGCCAATATCCTGGTGCTAGAGCTCAGAGGGAGTGAGTCTCAGTAGCTGAGTCCATGTTTGGGTTCTTTAAGAGGAATTGCTTGGGACCAGCCAGTTCTGCATGTCCTCCCTCCCACCAGTCTGCATGGATATGGTTTCTTTAATTCCATAGTTTTCACACTTCCATTCAACTGGATTTCTGATGGTTCTGAGTGATGGTTATTCTGTAATTTAGTTGTAATTTTGATGTGGTTGTGCGAGGAGGTGAGCTGTGTTTACCTATGCTGCCATCTTGACCAGAAGTACCATGCTGTTTTGATTACTATGGCTTTATAGTATAGTTTGATATAGGTAGCATGATTTTTCCAACTTTGTTCTTCTTTCTTGAGATTGCTGTGGCTGTTCAGTCTTGTGGTTCCATATAAGTTTTTGGAATATTTGTTCTAGTTCTGTGAAATACACCATTGGTGTCTTGATAGGAATTGAATTGAATCTATAGATTACTTTGGGTAGTGTGGACATTTTAATGCTGCTAATTTTTCATATCTATGAGCACAGTATATGCTTCCACTTATCTGCATCTTCTTCAGTTTCTTTTTTCAGTATCTTACAGTGTTCTGAGTACAGAACACTGTTCAGGTTTTTTATATCCTGGTTAACTTTATTCCAAGTTTTTTTTTATTTTTTTGATGCAGTTGTAAATGGGATTTTAGTTTCCCTTTCTGATAACCATTATTGCTGTATAGAAATGCAACTGATTTCTGGATATCTTGCATCTTAGTACTTTACTGAATTCATTTGTCAGTCCTAGTAGTTTATTGGTGGAATCTTTAGGGTTTTCTTTTTCTTTTTTCTTTTTTTTTTAAGATTTCATTTATTTATTTTTAGAGAGGGAGGGGAAGGAGAAAGAGAGAGAGAGAGAGAAACATCAATGTGCGGTTGCTGGGGGCCATGGCCTGCAACCCAGGCATTTGCCCTGACTGGGAATTGAACCTGCGACACTTTGGTTCATAGCCTGCACTCAATCCACTGAGCTACGCCAGTCAGGGCAGGGTTTTCTATATAAAGTATCATGTCATCTGCAAATAATGACAATTTTACTTCTTCCTTTTCAATTTGGATGCCTTTTATTTCTTCTTGTCTGGTTGCTGTGGTGAGGACTTCCAGTACTATGTTGACTAAGAGTGGTAAGAGTGGACATCCCTGTCTTGGGGAACTAGTAATCTTTGCCATACTTGCCTCCTGACTTCTCTGCTAAGTCTGCTACTGACTGACCAGTTGTTGCTCTTAAGGCATTTATTCAGTAGACATGAATTAGTGCTAACCATGTGCTAGGCCCTATTAGGAACTAGAAATACAAACACAACTGAGAAATACTCCCCACTCTAGAGAGGTTTAATAATAGGAGTAATAAACTTGTATACAGGTTTCTGAGAACTGAAGATATTAAGTACTGTAGTCTGTTAGACTAGTTAGTACTATGATTCTGCCAACTGCAATAAATAAGAAAGTCAGCCGCTGTGGTTGGGGTAGGAAGTCCTGACACATCTTTAGTTTGAAAACCATTGAATTTAATGATAATTAAATTTCAAGAGAATTTTATTGATGTATTTTTTGTATTTAAACAAATCGCATTTTATTTAGTGAACATATTTTAAAATGTTAATTTTCTTTTGGTGTTTTAGATTTAGAGTTGTGATACAGTTTTGAATCAAAGAGGTAGAGCATCATGTGATCAACAACTATATGCAAATAATTACCAGTTTGTGAAAAAAAGTATACCATTAGCAATTTGAAAATGATTCTCTCTGGTCAAAAAACTTTTAACTTTTTGTACCAAAAATTCAAGTAATAGCATTTTCTGTGTTCTTTTTAAAATGATAAAATTTTCAGTTCTTAAAACTCATGTAAAAAGATTTTATGTTCATTGATACTTAGTATTTAAGCTTGTTTTTATACTGTATGTTAAAATTTTCTTAAAAGATTTTATTTATTTTAGAGAGGGGAAGGGAGGGAGAAAGAGAGGGAGAGAAACATCAATGTGTGGTTGCCTCTTGCACGCCCCCTTCTAGGTACCTGGCCCACAACCTAGGCATGTGCCCTGACTGGGAATCAAAGCGGTAACCCTTGGATTCCCACACCAGTGCTCACTCTGCTGAGCCACACCAGCTAGGGTGTATGTTAAAGTTTTAATGATTGTTTGCGTGTGTGTGTGTGTGTGAGAGAGAGAGAGAGAGAAATCACTATACTATTGGATTCAAAGAATTATTAGTTGGATATCTTAATTTTCTAGATTAGTTAAGCGAGGCTCCAGAAAATTTAAGTAACCTGCTCAAGGTCTTACAGATAATTAACAACTAATATGAAACTAAAACTCATACTTCATTTCTCTAAATCTAATGTTTTGTTTTGTTTTTAATTGGTTTGGTAGCGGCACAAAAGTATATGCTAGTTATTATGGAAACTTTTGAGTCCCTAATTATTTTTTAAATTAGATAAACTACATTATAAATGTCTTACCAAAATTATTCTTTCTTCTCTGTATTACATTCTTGAGAATATTTCACAATATTTTACAGTTTTCTGTTTTCATTTTTTATAGGGTTGGAAAATATTTAAGTCTCAACAAATGAATTCCATACTTGAACTGTGCTGCATTCCTGTGCCACCTCCTCCTTTAGAAAATTGATCTCAGAACAGAGGTAAAAATTATAGAATTTAACTTTTTAAAGGATAAAGCATGAATTTCCCATACAGTTAGACATGTTAGAATTTTGGGTAATCTTTGGTAGGTATCTTCTATTTTTAAAGCAATTTTACCTAGGAGAGTTGAAATAATCACATCTTAATGCATTTTGAAATTTACTTTTGGAAGTGTTTTGTTTTTAATAGTTGTGTATTTTAACCTTTTTGTGACTTAAACTGTACAGTTATTGATTTATCAAATTTACTCAGTGTGACTATTATTCAGCTATATCTAGATTCATGTATAATTTCCATGATGATATCTGTGTTCTTTACCTGTGCAGTCCAGTATGGGAGACACAAACCACATAAAGCTACTGAGCACTTGAAATTAATATAGCTAGGGTAACTAAGGAATTAAATCTTTAAATTTTATTTTATTTTAATTTAAATTTAAATAGCTACTTGCAGCTAGTGCCTGCTATATTGGACAGTATAGCTGTAGGTTTTTCCTTAGGGAACTTGGTATTTACAAATAACAGCACATTTTACATGTTTAAATTTCAAACTTAATCTAAATAGTCTTTGACCTAAGTTTGAAAATCTATAGTTGCGAATTCACTTTTTACTCTTATATGTTGTCCTGATACTTGTGTAGCTTTGTTTATTCAAAATTTTGGTCCACCAGAAACCCTTAAGAAACCCTTATAGTTAGTTTTGCTCACTGATGTAACTTATTTAATCTTAAAAAAAAAACTTTGACATAGGTACTTATAGTATCCCCATTTTATAAAGAGAAGCTAAGTAAGTGTCCCAAGGACACATAGCTGGTAGGTCGTGGAGCTAGAATTCAGACTCTGGCAGTCTATCACTGAACAGAGCCCATACTCTTCAACCATTTGGCCGCACCATCGCTTACATTCTGATTCTCTGTAAATTGGCAATTCCTAAAAAGTTATGTGCTGATTGTCAGCTAAGACAATTTTTATCCATGTAGGTAATGAAGAGCTTATCATACTACTATACAAGTACTCTGAGTTTGCTCCCCAGCAATTAGTTATTGACCTCCTTCAGATCATGTTCCAGCAGTTCATTATTTTGTTCATTATATTTTATTAGGGCTGGCTAATAAAGGTCGCCATTTCCATGGTCACTAAAAAGAAAATTATCTTCCGTGATATCCTCTTTACTTTGTTATACACTCTGGGAGTAAAGCAGCATGGGCTGAATTGAGCTGCACGTTGGAATATCAGCTTGATTTTTGCTCTTACAGAGAGTTTTTATATATACCAGGTGATGGAATGGGTCTGCTATAAAACAGGAGAAATGATCTTCAGAATTCTGTGTCATTTGCTTAAATAAAGTTTGCAGTGTATTTATACCTGTGTTCCTAGCTTCCTCCAGGTACTAAAAGATACTGAGTCTAGTTAAGAAATACATATTTAAAAGTTTTTTCTATAACCAGTACTATTCTATTTTTCAAATGAAGGTACTAAAATATATTTATAGGATTTTAGATTTAGAAAGTAACTTATCATTGTAGAAAACAAGCCCAAAGAGTTTAAGTGATCTGTTGAAGGTCATGGAAGAAGTGTGGTTCATTGATTCAACAAATATGTATTAAGTACCGGACATAGGTCCTGATACCATAGTATGCTTGTTACTTTTGAGTGCATAGTGAATACTCAAATATGAGAAAGCAGAAATGGACCCTGTTCTCATGGAACTTACAATCTGATGGAGAAGATAGACAATAAGTAATAAGGTCTAATAAACAAGGTACAAAATCCAAAGCTCTGGAAAGGAAATGAACCATATTTGTTGGAATGGAAAATACTGTAGAAGGGATAAAGAACTGCTAAGGTGGTGGAGGAAGGTCTTCTGATACTAACAGGATTGAAAGTAGCCACCTATTTAAGGTATGTATGTATGTATGTATTTTTAGAGAGTGAGAGAGAGGAAAGGAGAGAGAGAAACTTTGATTTGTTGTTCCACTTATTTAATGTCTTCATTGATTTGGTTAATTCTTGTATATGCACGGACCAGGGATAGAATCTGCAACCTTGGTGTATTGGGACCACACTCTAATCAACTGAGCTCCTCAACCAGGGTGGGAGCCACCTATTTAAATAGCAGCAGTAAGATAGTGTTCCAGTCCTAAAACAATCTACCCAGAATCCTGGGGTGAAGATGTGTGTAAAGTCATAGAGAAACTGAAAGAAGGGTATGGGCAGGACATAGAAGATGGTGGGGGGAATGGTATAAGCTATAAGAAAGGGGCTGGTTTAGTTTTTTCAATCATAGGCTTCACAGTAGGTGTTAAATTCAAATCTGAATTCTGCCACGTAAACTATGTTACCTTGTGTGGGTCATTCAACCTCTTTACACTTTAATTTTCTTATCTATTAGCTGGAAATAACAGAACCTATTATATTGCACATAGTATCATGAAGATTAATTATATAACACTTGTAGGAAATACTTATATGGTGTTTACCTTCTGATAAGAACTGTTCCAAGTATGCAGTACAGTACTGCTATTATCTCTCTTTTTGAAATGAGAGAAATAAAGTACAGACAGTTTAAGTATAGCTGGTAATGTAAGAGGATTTAAACATAGCTAGAGGAAGGGACCTTAAACTTAGTTTGGCTCCAGAGTCCATGCTCAAAATGTCCTGGGAATCTGTTATGTGGGTCCATGGCATCAAACTTATTTTTCATATTAATACTTGGGTAGTATTTGCCTTCTTTATTGTCATTCTCTGATTAATATAGTCCTACAGAAGCAATTATGAGATTTGGAAAAAAATGTAAAATGTTACTTTTTCATGAAATTTGTTTTTGTTTTGGAAAAGTAAATTTTCAATTTAAAAATGTTATTTATGTTAACATGTAATGGGCTTAATTTTTAAAATGAATTAATAAACTGTTAAAATGTAAGACTGAAAGGTGGTCAGAGACAAAAATTTGAGAATTGCTGCTCCAGACTACTAGATTCTGTTGTTCTGTTGTCTCTCATTAAATCAGATAAAATATAGAAAACAGCTGACACAGTGTTTATGCTTGATAGGCTCATTAATAACTTTTAAGACACTTTTTTCATATTTTAACATTTTTGAAATAAGAATATGTCTTGTCTGAATAAACTTTTCAGCAACCAGGCAAGTGAATTGTGAAATAGCAGTAAGTCGTGCCCTATTATGTATTTCGAGACTTTAGCTTTATGTATTCATTTGTTCAGTTATCATTTCAATTGATATTAGTAGTGCCACATAGGGTTGAATTTTTAATTGAATTTGCATCCCTAATTGTTGCTTAAAATGTCTACAAAATATCATAGTATAATACAGATTTGTGATGAACAATTAATTGTCTCAGCAGATTGCCTGACACATACCAATTAATTCAAAGACAACAAAATTGCCAAATATCTCAGTTTCTCAGTTTCAAACCTGGGCAAGATTGGTATGACTGATTCATGCATCTGGGAGAATATCTACCTGTCAAAGTTTCTGAGTGATTTTAAAGAAGCTGTTAGCTTCTGTCTGTATTTAATTTGGAAAAATAAAATTATTAAGCTTTAGTCAAAAATGCAGGCAGAAATCTCAGGTTTTGTTCTGGCCAAAAATAAAACTGTCATTGAGTTCATGCGTACAAGTAATTAAATGAATAGATGTTTGAGTACCTGCTGTCTGCCTAGCACTTTTGGTATGGCACCTGTCCCTATGAAGTACAGATTCTAGTGGAAGAGACAGACTATAAGAACTAAGCAATAAGCAAAATAATTACATATTTTGCCAAATGCTATGAAGGAAATGAATGGAGCAATAAGGATTGGAGGGAGGAGGAACTAGGGGGAGACAATTTAAGTAGACAGGGAAGGCTTCTCTGAGGAGATGGCATTTGAACTGAGTCTGTTCCAGCCATATGAGAGCTGGGAGAGTGTACCAAGTAGCTAGTTGAAAGACCAAAGATGGCTGGAAACATAAAGGATAATTTTTTTAAATTCCTATGTGATTTTACTGATAAGCTTATGCTCTTGTCCTATAGTTAGTCAGTATTTTTATTTTTAATAATTGCTTCTTTTCTACTTACTTAAATTTGTTAATGAATTACTGTCTTAAAATCAGTAGTATCAAAGAACTCAAGAAATATGATGGTGTTTTGATTTTATTTGTTGAGGTGACATTGGTTAATAAAATTAAAATTTTAAGTGTACATTTCTATGATAACACAATCTGTATATTGCACTGTGTGCCCACCACCCAAAGTCAAATAATTATAATTATTGATACCACTATATTTCTTTAAAAGGTATTGAAGTCACAGTCATTTTTTAATGGTATTGATAGAAACAAAAGTGATTTGGTGCTCCAAATTTGTGGTTATAGGAGAGATGCAGATAGTAATTTAAAATAAGACATTTCACCTGGATGTAATACTTTTTTTTTTTTTAACTAGAGGGTTGTCATTAGGATTAGTTGGGGAGATTTTTCAAAATATGTGTTACAGGCCCTATTACACTTAGGGATTCTGATGCAATATATATCAGATTAAAAAGATTTGTGTTTCTGGGGTTTCTCTTTTACTTTAAAAGCAATTGATACTCTTTGTAGAGAATTTGAAGAAAATCAGTAATTGTAGTTGCTTTTTTCCCCTTTTCTATAAAATAGTGGTGTACATTTTAAAAATGTTCTAATTCTTTATAGTTAGCAAAAAGATAACTTATTAGTTTATAAGTTATTCCCAAAACAGAAATCTTGATTTAAAGCACTTCATTATTGGGTTAGCCAAAAAGTTTGTTTGATTTTTTCCATCCAGTGGCTCTAGTAGTGCTTAGCTGTCTTTAACTTCACTTGAAACAATTTTGTTAGATTGTGCTGTGACAGCTGTCATATCAAGATGAATTTTAAAAAATACTTATCAAAATTGGTGAATTTTTGTGTAGCCATTTTAATATTGAAGATGGGAAAAAATATGGAACATCTTTGGCGCTTTATGCTTTATTATTTCAAGAAAGGTAAAAACACAGTTGAAATGCAAAAAAAGATTTGTGCAGTGGGTGGTCTTACATATATTTTTAACAATTGAAACGGAACATTGTAGAATACTGTATGATGAATACATGACTATATTTAAACTATGTATACAAACATTTTCATACATGCATTCATATACATAAATGTATATCTGGAAGAAAAGTACATACAAAGTGGTTGATTCTGTATTTCTGTTTATCTTAGTGGGTGGCATAAGTAGTTGGGCTTTCTTAGTGCCTTTGTTTTACAGGCATATACTATTTATAATAAGTATTTTAAAATTATTTAATAATTGAATATCAACTACTAATTTATATCAAAGGCATTTGTGTACACCAACAATGAAATATCAGAAACAGAAATCCCATTTGCTATAGCAACAAGAAAAATAAAATACCTAGGAATAAACCTAACCAAGGAGGTAAAAGACCTGTACTCAGAAAACTACACAACACTAAAAAAAGACATTAAAGAAGACACAAATAAACGGAAGCGTATACCATGTTCATGGTTGGAAGAATTAACATCATCAAAATGTCCATACTACCCAAAGTAATTTATATATTCAATACAATCCCTATTAAAATACCAGTGACATATTTCACAGATATTGAACAGACATTTCAAAAATTTTGTATTATTTTCTTACCACAGGACCTCTAGGCTGTTCCCTCTTTCTAGAATGTTCTTTTCCTACTTAACTCCTACTGATCTTTGATATCTCTATTTAAGCACTACCTCAGAGAAGCCTCTTTTGCTTTCATGAGCGTTAGTTTCCTTTGCTTTATGGTTTAGTGTGTCGTTCTTTACCATCTCTTTGCAAAAATATAATCTCCTCCAGTAGACAAATGCTCCAGTAGAGTGGGTCTACATCTGGTTTTGTTTACCATTGTATTTCCAGCTCCTAGCATAATAGCTGGCATATGATTTGTGCTTAAGAAATATTTATGGAATAGATCAGTGAATTTCTGACCAGATTCTCCTTTGCTCAGATGTCTGCTTAAGGTTTGAGAAGCTTCCAGGGCAACTGCCTTAGCATATTTAGACAGTTGTTCAAACTGGAAATTATACTGTATGGTGAATCCATGCTTGTTATTTTTATTGAGATAGAATTTGTATAGAATAAGATGCACAGTAATCATATCAAACTTCATTTTTAGGTGAAGACCGAGGTTTTAAAGAGTATTTAATACCACTTAATATTTGAAAGGGAATTCTGACAGTGATTTGAACAGTCATTGTAATAAATGAATGAACCTGATAAAATTACTTCATTGAAGGACATTATCATTTGAATGTGTAGTTGTACTCTGTTTTGTGAAGTTATTTTTAAGAGTCTCATTTCTTCAGCAAGAGTTTTAACATGGGATCCATGTCTGCTATGGCTTTACTATATCTATGAACTCCCTAAAATTATTTGCAAAATCGTGTACATATGAGCATCATACTTATCTTTTTCTGAATTAGGGATCCATAGTTTTGTTCATATTTTAAAAGGGGAAAGGGTCTGTGACTTTCTGCTTTTGCTTCCTCAAAAAGATTAAGAACCATTGCTTTGTATCTTATATATCATGGCTTATATGTAGAGTTAGTTCATCAATTCTCTATTTTTTCTTACAGTTCATTGTGGAACATTTCAAACCTGTAACAAAGTAGAGAGAATAGTGTAATGAAGCATAAGTGTCAGTAAGCGATTACTCAGTTTCGGTGGCTATCAACTCATCATGATCAGTCATATTTCATCTATACCCATTGCACTGTCCTCCTTTGGCTCTCCCCTCTGTCCCTGATTATTTTAAAGTAAGTCCCAGTCATTATTTCACTAATAAATATTTCAGTATGTATCTCTGAGACATAAGCACTGTTTTTGAAAAGGTATGATATAATTATCAAATATAAAAATCACCTATAATCCTTAATTTAATATCATTAAATAATCTGTCATGTTCAACTTCCTCCACTTGTCATGCTCTTTTTAATTGTTTGAATCAGAGTCCAAATAACATTCACACTTTGGTTATTGATTTTTCTTTTTACATCTCTTTTAATCTGTAGGTTTCTCTATCATCTCTTTTTCTGTTCAGTTTATCGGTCTATCTTCAAAACACTTGCTATTTGAAAATAAGGATCATGTATTACTCCTTTTTATACTCCTTGCTTACATAGTATTTGGTAGAGTGCATTATATAGGGATATTTTTATCCTTTTGGGATTGAGGGGGCAGATTTGGAAAATCCAATTTCCTTTCATTAGGTAGAAATTTAGTGTGCAATTTGACACACTCTTAGCAAATAATTGTCTTTTTAGTAAACTTTAAGTTGCTTTGAAGACACTTCACTCCTCCCACAAGAAGTTCTTTAGTTCTTCTAGTTGTTACCTTTTGAGCCTTAAATTAAAAACCACAACTTTTTATTATTTTTTTCACTTTAAAAATAATACATGCCCTGGCTGGTGTGGCCCAGTGGACTGAGTTCCAGTCTGCAAACCAAAAGATCACCTGATTCCCAGTCAGGGCACAAGTCTGGCTTGCGGTCTAGGTCGCCAGCTGAATGCGTGTTAGGGGCAACCAATCAATGTTTCTCCCCCTCTTTCCAAAAATAAATACATAAAATCTTTTAAAAAATAAAAATAATACATGCTTATTTATTTTTTAATAATTCAAAGTTATATAATTAATACATCCTCAGTAATCCTTCCTTCAGAGGCAGACACTTTAAGTTTGGTATATATAGAGGTAGGCAGAGTGGGTGTACAGTTGTGAAATGGTTTATTCTTGTGTTATTTATTAATTATGATATGATTTATTTGTATTATTTGTATTTTTCCATATGAATAACTGTAAATCTACTTTGCCCATTCCTGTATATGCTTCCAGGTTTGTTTGTTTGTTTTTATATTTTATGTAAATTTTAAAAAGAATTATAGTTTACATACTATTGTATAACTTACTTTTCTACTTGGACCTTTTTCCATTTTATAAAACAGAAATCTGCCTTCTTCAAAGGCTTTATTTTATGTAGTATACATACATTTATAATCAGTTTGCTAAATTTATGACCCTTGATTTTTACCTTTGACATTTATAATCTGTTGCATGGTTTATTCTGTGATGCATAACTTACTCCAGACTGTGCATTGGATAATGGAAGTTCAGTTTCACTCAATAAACTTGTTTTTGCCACCTTAAAGTATAATTGTTGTGTGAAATATAAAAGCATTAGGAAAATAGGTTTCAAATGTACCATTAAAAATAGGATTTCTCTCTTTAAAAAATTTAATTTAACTGAATTTTGTTCTAAAGGTAAGCCTCCTCTTCTAAAGTATATACTAAACGAGTTTCTCCTTTAGTGAAAAGTGCACATCTCTTACCTTTGGTAGTTTCTGTAAATAGTATTGCTCTCCTCAATTCAGTGGGTTTGTTTTTTTTTCTTTCAGAGTTAAGAGTAACAGAAGGTAGAAGAAGATGCTGGGATCTGAACGTGGTGTTGTGGAAGAATGGTTATCAGAATTCAAGGTAAATTGGCTTGGGGATAAGAATGTATCATATGATTCTGTATGTCAGTAATTCAGACAGTGAATGTGTGTTCTTTGGAGAAACTGAAATATTATGACATGAGGTAGAAATGGCAAAATATGAAATAACATTTCTATAACTGCAGCTCTTCAAAAAGTCACTAATGTGAATAATGATTAGAGATAATATGTAAAAATTAAAATAGTTATTAGGATTTTTGAGAGGATATAAATTTTAAACTATTTGAATAAAAGAGGGGAAGCCTCCAAGTTTTAATAAAGCTTAGAAATAGGACTTTTGCCTTATATTTTATTTCCTGTAACTTAAAATCATTCTTTGAGTTGATTGAAAACTATAATTTATGAAAAATATGGAAATGAGGGTTTTGTAAACATAACATAGAAAAATTGGAATATATCCTACACTACATTTTTAGAGTACATTAGGTTAGGATGAGACATTTCAGCAAATCTTAGCATAATATGTGATTTCTAATCATATTTATGGTTGAATAGTTAGAATTATATAGGGTGGAGCAAAAGTAGGTTTACAGTTCTAATACAAATATATAATATAATAATAAATAATAATACAAGAATAAAATCTATGTTTTGTATACTTACAACTGTAAACCTACTTTTGCCCCACCCTGTATATCTTAATTTGTTTTACTAACATTCATGGTTATTTCTTGTATTAATTAATTTTTTCTTAGTTGGCTCTATTACAAATATTTTTAAGGGGAACTCCTTTAAAATAAAGATTCTGACTTCTCAAATATTAAGTTCACTTTTATTTTCCTTTGATGTTTTTTAGGCATTACCTGATACTCAGATCACCAATTATGCAGCTACTTTACATCGGAAAAAAACACTGGTACCAGCCCTCTATAAAGTTATTCAAGATTCAAATAATGAGGTAGGAGAGTTTATGAGAAAAATAACTTCAACACAGTAAAATGAAATATGTGTACTAAAACACATGTATTTAAATTTTGTAGTTTTCCCTACTCTTTTTTTCTCTTTTTTAAAATCCTTCTTAAGGAACTGGAAAACTTTCTTTCTGCTGTTTTTCATTCTGATAGTTGCTTTGGCTTTCCCCATGCCTTTTCTCTTCATATATTTATATGTTTTGGTCAAATTTTTTATTGTCGAGGAGAGTATGTTTTGATTCTTTATCTGAGTGGCCATCACTCAGATTATTTATTTAATTTGAAACTCTTCTCTCTTCCCTGTTCTATAATGTTTTCTTTTCTGGAAGCCAAATTTTAACCATGCACTGGTTAAGTTTTATTTATTTTTAAGTATTGTTTGCAGTTATTTTATTGACAATATAGAACTGTGTATAATCACCTAACCAGTGAACTTAGACTGGTAACATAACATGATACTGCTAGTAAATTTAGCTTGAAAATGATCAGAGAAAGCACTTTTTAACCTAAATAGTGAAGATTTAAAAACTTAGAATAAGAGTGTCCTATTATTCCGTTTTGTCATAAGAGGAAAAAATGCAGCTATTGAATCTATTTGTTAATTTATGCAAAATACACACATTATCTTTGCATTAACACAATAGTATGACACAGTTTTATCACCACTGGATTCATGTATGATTTAAAATGAAAATGAAAGGAACACACAGGAAAGTAGCTTCTTATCTTCCCAGATACAGCCTCCACGAGTGCCTCTGCTGTGTACTGGAGTGAGTTTGAAGAAGTTCAGGTAATCATCTCCTAACCAGCAGCTTAACTTAAAGTGCATCTTCATTTTTGTCCTATCACTAAAAGCTTGCTTATTGACCTCTTTCTTTCCTATCTCCTAAACTTGGATTGGCTCTCAGTTAGACTTGCACCTGTTGCTATTTGTAGCAGCAGTTGCAGGATTCCTTTGCTTTTTTTTTCTCTTGCTGTGCATTTATGAATGTTTTATAACTTTAGATGTGGTAATGTACATATATGCATATCCTTGGTCAGGAGTTTTCAAAATTCTGTTTGAATAATGAATGTGTGTATTCCCCACCCCTTTTTGTACTGTCTTAACATAAACTTTTAAAATTTGTTTTATGCTTTCTCTTTAGATTGTAAGCTCTTCATGGGCAGTTGTCATATATTCTATATTTGCTACTTTCTAGAACCTATTATTTTATCATGTACATAATGAACACTTAATAAATACTGATTAGAAGAATAGTGAAATACAAAATGTGATTCTAAAACGCTGTCATTTTCATTGGGACTCAACAAATGTATAAAAAGTACCAGTTTTCTTTCTTCTGCTATACTCGGAAGCTAGGACATAAAAAAAAAGTTATTCACATTATTTTACTTCAAAATGTTAACGTGTCAGACCTCATCATGGATAGAAATGGAAAAATTACAACTTGAGAGATTCAAGGTTAAAACTCAGCAGTCATTGTAATCAACCAGTTGCCAGAGTGGGTCTGTCTGTCCATTCTTTCTCCTCTCAGGTCATAAAGTTCTAACCATGTGTTCATACTTCAGAAAAATTTTCAGCTCTATAGACTCTCAAAGCAATTCTGGACTTTAGTCCTAGAAGAAAGGCCCTTTTAGTTCTGATTTTGTTATATTCTGAAACATAATCAAATATTTAGTTAATGGGAAGTTATTTCAGAAAAATGTCACATGCCATATGTAATATTATTTGAAACTTAAGACACTCTTATGACAACCATTTTTACTTTAATGGCCATAAAAGTTTTTAAGAAAGTTTTTATTTCCTAGATGTTTAATATTACATATCATGGCCAACTTTACTGCCACTTAAGTTTTAATCTCTAGCTCTGGCTAGTGTAGCTCAGTGGATTGAGCACTGGCCTGTGAACCAAATGGTTGCTGGTTTGATTCCCAGTCAGGGCACATGCCTGGGTTGCAGGCCAGTTTCCCAATAGGGGACACATGAGAGACAACCACACATTGATGTTGCTCTCCCTCCTTTCCCTTCTCTCTAAAAATAAATAAATAAAATCTTTTAAAAAAGTTTTAAGCCCTACACCAACAAATTGTTTTTCTTTTCTTCTTTCCCTCCTTTCAGCTACCTTAATCACTCTAGCAGTTCTTCCACTTCGAGGAGACCTTCGTCTATCTGCACTTTAAATGCAAGACTAACAATCTCTTGCTGTCTTACTTCTTTGGTATACTCTCCCACTGTTCATTTTACACTTCTTTTCTCATACTTTTACACTCCCAACTCATCTTCAGCTTACTTTTTATGTCATTAAAAAAGAATAAGAAAGTAGTTGGGAGCTCTCTTATTTTCCCATTCAAATGTATATACCACTGTACCAGCATCTCTACCCATCCTCTCCTGCCTTTTCTGTTATTCAGTGGATGAAGTATCCCAGGTTGTATCAAAGGCCATCTCTTTCCCTTCAGCCTAGAGCCCATCTTCTCTAGCACCTCAAAGATTAACCCTGCAATTACCTCCTCTCTTCCCTCCATGATTGATTTTTCCTTTTCTGATGAATATGGTAAACAATCATTCTATTTTTTAAAAAGCTTTTTTGTTTTGCCTCATTTTTTATTATCTCTACCATTTTTCTGTCCCTCTTCAGAGGTGAACCTTATAAAGTATTGCTTATTTATAGTCGCTTTCTACTGACCCCTTTTTCTCACCTCACATTCTCTCTTTAACCCAAATTGGGCTTCAGTCTCCATTTTTCCACCCAAACTGTCTCAGTGTGTTCATCAGATAGCCTGTGTCTTAGTAATTATCACATCAAACTGTTTGCTAAATTTGGGTGTCAGTTATTCTTAAGCTTTTTTTTAGCCAGAGGATAATATAATGACTTGAACACCTTTTGATGTGGGTGATAGTGTCACTTAGGGAAGGTCAGCATCATTTATGATACTAAAAGTTTAGAACACAATAGTCTGATACATACTCTTAGAATTAAAGATTTTTTAAGAGATAGCATTGGCAAGTTTTTGACAATCAAATTTTGCAGTGTTATTTCATTAAAAGTTACTGGATTGCCAGCCACCCCTCTTCCACTTTTTAAAAAAGAGTGATAATTTTTCTCACTCTATATTTCTTTGTTATGCTTAATTAAAATATAGTCTCCTACATGCCAGTGCAGTTCTCGTTACTGAGGAAGGGAAGTTAAGATCCTTATAACATGAACAAATCATAATTGTTCCATGGATAATAACATTTAGAGAAGGCAATTTTAGAGTCTTTTACAAAGAGGAAAGTCAATTTAAAACCTGTATATATTTTTCAATAAATAATGAGAGCAATGCTCTTTAATGTCCTAAAAGACCAAATATTATTGTTAGTACTTTAAAAAGATGCCAGTAATTGACCATTTTCAAAAGTTTATGACTTCATTATTGACACTATGTGGAATATACTATTTGTAATTAAACAGCTCTCACCTCCTACTCTACCTTGACTCTAATAAAAGAAATGGTATGTTAGGAACATCAGCTTGGTGTTGGGAGACCTGAATTATAGTGTCTTTCTCCACCACTAACTTCTGTGACTTGGGCAAATTGTATGATTTAGACTTAATTGTAACAGGAAAGCTGAAATGTTTTTTAAGACTTTGAATGTAGTGATAGTAATTTCACATAAAAGGGTTAGAAGTTACTAGACTAGGATGTGTGTGTATAAACTTTTTTACCTGTAGAGTTGTTCCTTAACTCATCTAAATATATAACATGTACAATCAACATAGAATTTGTTGACTTTTAATTTACAGTTGTGAAAATAATGACTTTATTCTAGAGTGTTAGATTATTACAGATATATAACTATTTCTAACAGATTTCCAAATGTATATGTATTACATTTTAAAAGTAATTTTTATAAAGTTAAATTTTATAAGTTTAAATTTTAAAAGTTATAATTTCTTGTCAGTGTTTTGCCTGCATTTTGAAATCATACTTCTGTTTAGTCTGCAGTTATTCCAACAAAACTATTCTAAGTTGGCAGTACATGTTTAGAGAAAGGGGGAAGATTTATTTAAACTCATTTTTTTCGGCTTTCAAGGTTATGAAGTACCTCATGAGTCATGTTGTGTGATATCATATGAAGAATTACCCAATTAAATATTAGAAAAACTGTTTCTGTATAATTTCTTCCTTTTCAAAATGTTTCAAATAAATACAATTCGTAGAATTTGTCAGTTTCAAACATAAAAGTAATCTGTTTTATTTTACATATTAGCTAGCATTAATTTAAAATACTAGCTAGCATTTTGGATATCCAAATATTATATACCAAAAAAAAAACCCTTTCTCTATTGAGTGGTATATAATTTGTTTAAATCATACTCTTAAGTCAATATTTAAAGTTTATTTTCAACAAGATAATTTGAAATTATTTTCTTCCAATAGAAACTTTTAAAAATGGGGTATAAGCCTGACTGGTGCAACTCAGTGGATTGAAGGCCACCTTTGAACCAAAGGGTTGCTGGATCGATTCCCACTCAGGGCACATGCCTGGGTTGCAGGCCAGGCCCCAGTAGGGAGTGTGTGAGAGGCAACCACACATTGATTTTTCTCTCCCTCTCTTTCTCCCTCCCTTCCCCTCTCTCTAAAAATAAATAAATAAAATCTTTTTTAAAAATGGGGGATAAGTACGGGTTGGTAAGAAAAGGGAGCTCATTAAATATAAGTGTAGTACATTGGTTAAAGAACTAATTATCTAATAATTTGATAGTACAGTGTATTAAAAGTTATGTTGATATTAAATGGACACAAAGTACTTTTGATAGTATATTGGTCAGTTTAATATGTAGTCTCCATACATAGAGATTAAGGTTTTCATTGCATTGATTCAAAATATGCAAGAATTAATGTTGAGAATTTAGTTTGAAAACATATATGTGCCTTTAATAAAATACAGTTATAGCCAAAAGAATGGAAATAACTAATGCACTTCATTTTTCTTTTAGCTCCTGGAGCCTGTCTGCCATCAGCTGTTTGAACTCTATCGTAGCTCTGAAGTTCGACTTAAGAGATTCACACTGCAGTTCTTGCCAGAGTTGATGTGGGTGTATTTACGGCTCACAGTTAGCCGAGACAGACAAAGTAATGGTTGCATTGAAGCACTTCTGTTAGGAATTTATAATTTGGTAAGTTGAAAATGATAATTTGGGGTTTTTTTTAAGTTCTCTGAACCAATACTTAAGGAATATTTAGAGAAAAAAATTGAAATATCTACTGAATACTCTATTTGAGTTAATTAAATGGAGTACAGAGGTGCTTAGTAAGTAATTGCTGATAATATGTTTTATAAAATAGGTACAACTATTATAAATGATAGCATTGTTAACATGTTATGACATTGCTTGAAGTTATTTTACTTGACCATTATTTATAAATGCTGTGCATTTAAACTTGTTCAAATTTGTTTTTAATAATTATTTGATAATGTATTATGTCTCTGATACTACGTTGTTTATGAAACTTTTTTCAGAGGAAATCTTAAGTACCGTAAACATTATTCTTCTGTTTTATTTCTCATGGTGCCTATTTTAGAACATTGGTATTGAAACTGCCCTTTGAAGTCTTATATTTTGTGTATTCAGTATTCCTTATAAACAAACACTCCACATAATAAATAAAGGTTTTTAATTGAGCCCTGGCCAGGTGGCCAGTTGGTTGAAGCATCATATAGTTGAGAGGTAATAAAGCACCTCATAAAATATTGAGTCTCACAGTAAATAATATTCCTCTGCACCAGTGCTTGCTCCTCTAAGTGTTATCCCTTAAAAATCATTATAAAACAGCCCTGGCTGGTGTGGCTCAGTGGATTGATTGCAGGCCTACAAACCAAAGGGTTGCTGGTTCAATTCCCAGTCAGGCCATATGTCTGGGTTGCAGGCCAAGTCCTCAGTAGGGGGTGCATGAGAGGCAACCACACATTGATGTTACTCTCCCTCTTGTTCTCCCTCCCTTCCCCTCTCTCTAAAAATAATTAAATAAAATCTTTTAAAAAAATAATTAGAAAACATCTCCATCACTAGGACATATATCTGAAGAATGGAGCATGCATGACCTTTGGAGTCACTTTATATTTTGTTTAAAACCAGGCCCTGCCACTTGTTAGCTGTTTTAAATTTGGGCAAGTTACTTAATATTTTGACTTCAGTTGCCTCCTCTGTAAAGCAGAAATAAAACATTGTTGTAGGATTAAAAACAATTAGAAAAATCCAACATCATGCCTGTGGTGTTTGATAAATGTTTATCATTATTTGCAGTAGTATCAAATTGAAGGTGAGTTTTTAAAATAAAAAGCTGTTCTAGGTATAAAATTCTCTATTTTGCTAATTTTTCTGATTGTTTTTTTATTTAAATCATTAAATTTGTTTCATATATCACTGTGTCTTCTCTAGTGCTTAGCACAGGTTACTTAGTAAATGTTTGTTGATTTAATCATTGAATTTAGTGTTTTAGATTATGTTTACCATTATGCTGACATTTTTATTAATTTGATTAATGTAATATTCAGTAGTGGGACAAATGAACCAAAAATATTTTGTATAGTAGAAGGCTTGACAAGTTCTTGACAGTACTTAGTGCTGTGGTTTAATTATCTTTTGGTATCTCAAATAGAGTGATTATTAAAAAAAATGCTCAATTATATGTCAGAAATGTAACCTCAGGATTCTGTCTTTTAATTCATTTGATATCTGTGTTCTGTCTTCTCTGTGGTTCTCATTTTTTCTTATCACACTGGTTTTCTTTTATATATTCATTTCTGTTTTTTCTTTCCCTCCCTAGCACTTGTTTGTTTAAGATAGCCTCAGGAGAGTTTTATATTGCCCTCACCTTAAACAAAGTTCAGAACACTCTTCTCCACAAATACAAATGTACATCAAAAGTATTTGGCTTAATTAAAAATTTATGAGTAAAAATTAAAAATTTTTTGCCTAACTTAATCAACTTCATTCATCTTAGCTAGCATAGACTTTCTGTGAGGCACAATGGCCCACATGTGGTAGTAACTAGTGTGACTACAAAGTAGTTAAATGATCTCTCTAAGGAATTTTTAAACCTTTTTTCCTGCCAGAATTAGAGGTAGGACCATTAATTCACATATAATTAGTACTGTCCTATAACATACAAAACTCAGAAATGAGCCCTATAGGGATGTCCTTCTGGGTTTGTGTTTTGGTGATGGTAGTTGTTTTTGTTGTTGTTTTCTTTCTTTTATGTTGTTTAACTCCTTAGTCTCTCTGTGACCACCTTCCTGCCAGGTCTAGTAAGGACAATCTTCTCTATGAATTGTATGCCCATTATGTATACTAATGTGAGTTGTAAAAGAAACATAGAACTAAAATGAGGCAGTAGAGAAAGGGATTGATGGAGGAGGAGCATTTCATCCCTTTAATTGTGGGTGCCTTAGGCAGGTTTTTATTGATACCTGTAGAAGTTTGGAGGTGCCAGAGACTGTAGAAATGAAGGACACTATTGTCCTATTCAATGAAAGCTAAAGTGCTTTTAAAATTCACAAGAAGTCTCTTCCAGTTCAGTAAGAATTATGTACCTAAATGTGAACTTATTTTTAGTCACTTGGACTAATAGTGGTTATCATGATATGTAGCTTATTTCAAATCATTAGTTTAATTGATGAATAATTGTAGGAGTTATTTTTAGTCAAGAGTCATTCTATGTTAGAATAATTTGTTTTTCTTATTTCAGTAAGTGTGGATCTCTTGGCTAAGGCCTTTAGTTTTAATATAACTCATCTATGTTTCTACTGAAAGATCTAATCGCTTGTACTCTCTCTGACCTGTGTATAAATTTAACATGAAAATTGACGTATGTGCCTGTTGTATTTGATTTACTTTAGTATTACACTCAGATCTCTTAAAGAATAATTCAGCTACCAAAGTGTACAAGTTTGCCAATAGGTTAGCAAAGATACACTAGAGTAGTAATATTTTTTAATATATTACTTTTCTAAAAATTTTCCTCAGTTACCAATGATATATTTGGTAAATTCAGAAAGTATTATTTCTTAAAGTCCTGTGATTATTTCATTATCTTTGTATATTTCTTTAACTATAGGAAATTGCTGATAAAGATGGAAACAATAAAGTTCTGTCTTTTACTATCCCTTCCTTATCTAAGCCTTCAATATACCACGAGGTAAGTAAGATTGAAAAGGTAGAATTATTTAAAATTATACTGAATAAAGATAAAATTCAACTTCTTACTGGAGATAAATATTTCTAAGACATCTTTACTGATATTTACTTCCTAAAAGTAAATGTTTACGATTAGTGATATAAAGTTGAGCTGTTGTCAAGAGAGACAGAAAGTAATTAATGAAACATTTTCCTCTAGTTCTTGTTTATTTCTTTGTATTCTTCAAAGAATATCATTTTCAGTCTTTTTTACTAGTCTTTTTTGAATTTTCAAAAATATTCCTTAATTTTTTTAATTTAAAACACTTTTTATTTTTCAATTACAGTTGACATATGATATTCTTTACTTTAAAAAAAAGTCTTACATATAATTAGAAATCATGTTAGAAAACAATATGATAAATTGTTTAGGTTTTATTATTTTTAGAGAAAATGGCTACTTAGAAGAATTTTATCACTATAATTTTATTTCCATTTGAAGGACTCTAATTGATGCAATCTAAAGCTGTTCATTAACATTACACTTTTTTAAAAGATTTTATTTATTTATTTATTTATTTTTAAGATTTTATTTATTTTTAGAGAGAGGGAAGGGAAGGAGAAAGAAGGAAAAAAACATCAATGTGTGGTTACCTTTCACGTAACCCTTATCAGGGACATGGCCTGCAACCCACGCATGTGCCCTGACCGGGAATCAAACCAGCAACCTTTGGTTTGCAGGCCAGCACTGAATCCACTGAACCATACCAGCCAGGGCAGAAAGTGGCATATAATTTTTAGACTACTCATAAAGTTTCTTTAAATGCTTTCCTCATGACTTTATGCACTAAAAGCCCCTAGAGACCAGAAGCTTAATTCATAACATATATTGTTCAAGAGAAGATGCAGAAGGAGTTCAGCTCAACAGGAGTCATCTACCTACATGACAATCAGTGTTTTCACATTGTTCAACCAAATAATATAAGCAAAAATCAGAAGTGTAACATTAGCCCTGGCTAGTGTGGCTCAGTAGATTGAGCACCATCCTGCAAACCAAAAGAATACTGGTTCAGCTCCCAGACAGGTCAGCTCCCAGACAGCTACCAGGTCCCCAGTAGGGGGTGTGTGAGGCAACCACACATTGATGCTTCTCTCTCTTCCCCTCTCTCTAAAAATAAATAAATAAACATCTTTTTAAAAAAATTGTATGCCATTTTCTTGTCAACAATCAGTGTCCTCTTGTCTTATAGCTCTATGCAGCTATTTTTTTTTCCATAATAAAGCCCTCTGGGACTTCGTTTTGTGTTGGAAATAGAGTGCCTCTTATTTAGCCAGGACTAACACAAAATAGCTAGCACAGAATATTTCTGAGTAATTTAATTTTAATTAAGTTCTGTGTATCATATTATGAAATAAAATGGAGGATAGTAAAACATTTATAAATGGATGGTTCTTCTAACTGTAGAAACATGAAGTCAATTATGTCACTTTTAAAGAGACATTTGATCATAGCCTTCAATATTGTTTGTGTTTTATAATTAGAACTCTCTGCATCTTGCTATCTTCATTGTAGAATGAGATTGATGGGAGTACTTACCTACCTGAAGTTAGTAAAACTTCATAGTTTGACTGTGCAGTCCCCAAGACTGCTTGTTTTCTAGAACAGGGGTCCCCAATCTCTGGGCTGCAGACCAGTACCAATCCGGGTTTGTTAGGGATTGGGCCGCACAGTAGGAGGTGAGCTTGAATGTAATGCAGTTGAATCATTCTGAAACCATGCCCCCCAACCTGGTTTGTGGAAAAATGTCTTCCATTGAACCAGTCCTTGGTGCCAAAAAAGTTGGGGACCACTGTTGTAGAGAACAAACAAAATTGATGTATTTGTAACCTTTAGTCTTTTTAGCAACTATTCTTATCTGTGCCCTAAATACAGATTTATTTCATAATCTTTCAAAAATTAAATCAGTATATTTTCAGTATAATTTTCAAAAAGAGCTGTAGAGTTCTGGCCGGGTAGTTCAGTTGGTTAGAATGTTGTTACAACATGCCAAGGTTGCAGGTTCCATCCCTAGTCAGGGCACATAAAAGAATCAACCAATGAATGCATAAGTAAGTGGAACAACAAATCAATGTTTCTGACTCTCTCTCTCCCCCCCTTTTCTTCATCTCTCTCTAAAAAGTAAATAAATAAACAAACAAACAGATATCTAGATAGATTGATAGCTATAGAATAGAAAGGACCCAAAAATCCCCGGAATTATCTTCTGGACAGTGGGTCCCTTGTAGTACAGGCCTCCCCCACTAGGTGAGTGTTCTAGGAACCCATCTGTATCAGTGTACCAGCTGACATTGTTGTAAGAGGCTGCATTCAGTTTCAGTGAATTTTTTTTGAAGACTCTTTCAACTCATTTGTCCATTTCATGACAGGTGATTTATGAGTGCACCTGCCCACACCACGCTGCATGTTCAGCAGTTTTTGACCCTATTTGCATGATCTTGCCCCATGTGACTTTTTTTTTGTTTCCTTGGATTAAAAAAAAAAAGTCTTCAAAGGGAAATGTTTTGCCGATGTGGAAGAGGTGAGACAAAAAATAACAGAAGCACTAAAAGGTGTCAAAATCAATGAGCTCAGAATCTGAGCAGTGGGAAAAATGTCTCCACAGGTGTATTGCATCAAATGGGTAGTATTTTGAAGGTGACTGGAAGTTTAAACATATAAGAATAAATACACAATTTTTGACAAATAAATTCCAGTGTTTGGGGGTCACTGCTCGTATAATTGAAAAGTAGAAAGGGTTTTTTAAAAAAAGAAATGGTCTGAAACTGCCTTTTGTTGAAACAAAATTAAATATCATTATTTGATACATACTTTTTGTTCATTTTAGAGACAGTCTCATACTTTACCTTATTTTTATAGCCCTCAACAATTGGATCCATGGCTTTGACAGAAGGGGCATTGTGTCAGCATGATCTCATCAGGGTTGTTTATAGTGATCTTCATCCTCAGAGGGAAACATTCACTGCGCAAAACCGGTAATGGTCAAAACTGTAGAGAGCAATAACTGTTAATTTATGCTTAATAGTTAACTCTAATTACTTTGGTTCAAGTTTGATGTGAGAAGAGGCAAAATGTTAAATATGTGATACTAGTGAATACATCATAGCAGTAAAATACCCATCCATCCAATGCTTGGTACTGTGTTATGGTCATCTTGTGTAAAGCAATGGAAAACCTAAAAGTGTAGGCATGAAGTCAGCCAAACTTAGAAGCTTGCCCTCAGGGGCAGGTTATCTACTCTCTACACCTTGCTCTTTTCATTGTTGAATGGGTTAATGAGAGTACCTACCTACTTGAAATTAGACAGACTGCAAAGTTTGAATGCATAGTCCACAAGAATACCCTCACGTCTGATAGCAATTACAAGGTTGGGTGGGGCATTCCTGAAATTACCCTATTACTCTTAGGTTTGATAACTCACTAGAAGGACTCACAAAACTCAATGAATGAAAGCTGTTATTTTTAGAGTTATAGTTTATTTCAAGGAAAGGGTAGAAATTGAAATCAGCCATGTCCTCACCAACACTTATTTTTTCTTCTTTTTTATTATAGCCCTCTTACCCCTAAGTAAAGAGTGATATCTCATTGTGCTATTGTTTTGTTTTTGCATTTGTTTTAATTTTTTTGTACAGTCAACTATATCAGGAATATACACACTCATATATATATATATATATATATGTATGTATTTCAAAGTTAAATATGCTCTAATTCTACACAGTTTATTATAAAATAACTGCATTCACCAGCTCCGTCTCCCATGTCTTCTTTCCCAAATGTAATGCCTTTCAACAAAGGTTCTCAACCAGAGCAGATCTGGACCCATCACTCCTGCCCCAGGAACACTTGGCAATGTCTGGAGACTTTTGAGATTATCACAACTGGGTTGAGGAGGGGCTACTATAGGTATCTCATGTGTAGAAGTTAGGGATGTTGCTGAACATTCCACAATACCTTGGTCAACCTGCCACAACAAACACTTATCTAACCCAAAATGCCAATAGTGCTGAAGTTAAAAATCTTGCTTTCAGCTGACTCTCTTAATATTTATCTCCACATCTTTGAGTAACTTGCTAATTCTTAGTTTTTCTATTGTAGACATTTATTAACATATCTCTAAGAAAGACAATGATTTAGTTCATTACCTTTCTTATTCCCCTATATTTTCAAGGTAATTATGTTGTAATTGTGGGGAATTCATTATTCAGATTTTTCATTATTATGAATGGCCATGGTTCATTCAGAGCTAGCTATTCAATGCTGAGCTTTGTGATTAACTGGTTACTTTTCCTTTCCTTTATGCCTTTTTTATTTTCCTTGTAGTTCATAATTGTTTTTTTTTCTTTGTTTATTATGTGCTTTGTAATCCAATCCCTGCAAATTCTCTATCTACTCTCATAATTTCCTTTCAAGTCTTCATTCACATTGATCATTCTCTCAGTTTTATTTTCCTGAAAAGGGAGCTCCTAGAGTCTTTTTACTTACTCCAGTCTGGGCTGTGTTACCCTCTTTGCTTGGTACACACTTATCTTGGCATCTCCTTCCTTCTTATGCTGGAAATTCCCTTTGTCTTTTTCCTGCGTGGATCTACTGTTGGTTGTACCCTAGACTCTCCTTCTTTGTTCCTGGTGTTCTGAAATTCCACTGTGATATTGCTTGGGGTGGGTTTATTTCCTCCATTGTGCTGAGTACTGAGTGGACTCCTTTGATTTTGAAATTTATGTCTCTGAGGCTGAGAAATTTTTCGAATTATTTTTATTAATTAGTTTGGCCTGTCCATTTTATCTGGTCTTTTATTATCTATCTTCTGGAACTTTTATTATTTGGATGTTGAAACTCCTGGAGTGGTCTTCTCTCCTATTTGCCATCTCTTTTTTCTTCTGTTTTAATTTATTTACATCCTCAACTTCATTCATTGGTTCTTTTTTGTGTGTGTGAGTTTTTAATTTCTGCAATTATTTTGCATATCTAAAAGTTTTTCTTGTTTTCTGAATGGTTTTTAAAATAGATTCTGGTTTTGCTTTGCTGGGCATTTTTTTGTGTGGAAACATCTCAAATTTTTGAGAAAATTAATGGTAATTTGCTTTTGTTCAAAGGTTTTTCTCTTTGTATATTATGTTTCCTTCAAATTATACTTTTTTTCTACTTTCTTATTTTTGATCTTGTTTTCATGTTAGTGGATTTCCTCAGGTATCTTTTCTCTCCCTTAAATTTAAATGTAGGGGAAAGGTTGAGAAGCTTTTACCATGTTAATAGGGCTGGTTGACCATGAACTTCACAACTGCTCTCTGGGCCATTCACTTGGGGAATTTTCTAAGTCCGTATCTTTAAATCTTTCTTCTTAGGGTGGTGAAACTCCTTAGAGAAAACTCTTGTAGTCTGTTAACTAGAGGGCTAGCTGCCGGCACTCTGGTGGCCAGGTGGGGAAGGAGAGCATGAGGTCCCGATTTCGAATAAGGTGTGTTTCACTTAATACTGCTTTTTTCAGTATGGTCTCTTTCCCCTCCAACCCCCACCCCAAGCCACAGTTGTGCCTGGTGGTTTCTAGGTAGAAGTTTCCTTTTTATCCTTTCAGAAAAAAATTTTTAAATTTCAGAAAATAAATATTCAGTAAACCAAACGATATAGGGAAGAAGGGACCTGAACATGACTGCTTCTGAGTCAGACTTTCAACTCAGTTTTTTTTAACATTTTTTGTTGTTGTTCAAGTACAGTTTTCTGCCTTTTCCCCCACCCTTCCCCTCAACCCAGTTTTTAGCTTTTCATTTTGAAATAATTTCAGACTTGCAAAAATGGTACAAATAGTTTCAATATACTCTTCACCAGCTATGTATGGGAAGCTTTTTAGAAGCACAAATTCCCTAGGGTTCTGCCCACAGAGATTGTAATGGGTCAGTCTGGGTTGAGACACAATAATGTATTTTTCCAAAAGGTCTTTAAATAACTATAATGTGCATTCAGGTTTAGGAGCCACTTTCTTAGACATTGTGTATATTAGGAAGTCATTCATGTATTCATTCAATAAATATTTATTATAATATCATAATGTATTAGACACTGTGTTGGATACTAGAGATAGAGATGATAAATCAAGGTCTCTACCCTAAAGTTGTTTATTACCAAATGGGTAAAACAGAGATAAAGACAGAGAATTATGATTTAGTGGAATAAATGCTGTATTAGAGCTACACAGATAAGGGAATACTGTATTTTGCTGAGTATAATGCACACCCACATTTTTGTGAGCACTATACACGGGCTTATCATGCACATGCTATGTAATCATTATATTCATGTATAATAAACATCCTTATTTTTTCCTCAAAAATTTGGGCAAAAAGTGAGCATTATACATGGCAAAAAATGGTAGTTTCCTTTAGCTAGGGGAATTAGGAACAGCTTCATGTCTAGGGTAAAAATTTGAGCTAGGACTTGAAACCTTAGCAGGAGTTTCCAAAGTATGTTCTAGTAAGAACAGCAAGCATAGAAGCAAGTTGTTATGAAAGGCTATGGCATATTCGTGGAGTGGTAAGAAGATCTATGTAATGTGGTAGTCAGCGGAGGGAGGGTAAGGTTGGAGAGGGAGGTTGACGGCCAATTGTAAAGGGCCTTGTATGCCATGGTGAGTTTGCATTTCATCGTTCAGTCAGTAGGAAAGTGGACTGATATAGATAGGGGAGTCAACTGTTCAACCATGATGGTTTATTTCTTGAGGAAAAAAATATAGGTGACAGCAAGAGATATAACCTTTAAAAAGGAAAATGGAAATGGAAAGCATTGAGGAAGAGACTAATAATCAGACTAAGAAATCATGAAAGTCAATCTTAAGGCATTGTTGTTATAACCGTCCAATGAAGAAATCATTTACTAGAGTCTCTAGTAGAAGTGATTGTTTATAGTCCTTTCCCCTTGTTTTTGTTTTTTCTAGGTTTGAAGTCCTGAGTTTTCTCATGTTGTGTTACAATTCTGCTATTGTGTATATGCCTGCTTCATCTTATCAATCTCTTTGTCGGATGGGCTCCAGGTGAGAGTAATAATTGTCATTACCCTTCATATTTATTTATTTGACAAATATTTATTGAGCATATTCTCTGTGGTAAGCACTGTTATAACTTCTGATGACATAGCAGTGAATAAAACTCATGGAGCTTATATTCCTGTAGGAATCCTTATTATCTTATGTATCAGGACTTCTTGAAAATATTTCAGCATTAAAAAAGTATTTTTAGTCTGAACATCAAGTTCAGACAAGGTGTCTTAAGTTTAGGGTGGTTTAGTGATATACCAATTTTCATATGTAAAGGAAGTCTTAAGAAATGTAAACTGGTTTCTTTATTTCACAAATAACTATCACTGCTTTGTATAAGAAAATTAGTTGTAGTATTTGTGTTTTGTACTTTTTACTAAAGCAAAATTTTTAATACTTTTGACAGATCTGGGCTGAAATATCCACTATAGAAAGACAATTTAAGTAATAGAAATCAGTTTGGAGATGGTGGACATTTAGAGTCACAGAATTTTAGTTACAGAAGGAATCCTGAGTTCATCTTGTTCAACTTATTTTTACTTGAGGAAACTGAGCCCCCCAAAGTGTTAAATACTATATTAGTTTTCTATTGCTTCATGACAAATTACCACAAACTTAGCACTTTAAAACAGCACACCTTTATTATTTTATAGTTTCAGTGTGTCAGGAGTCATGACTTGGTTCCTTTGCTTAGGGGGTCTACAAAGCTGCAGTTACGACATTGGCTAGATTTGCAGTCTTATCTAGGCTTGATTGAGGAATTACACACTTTTGTTGACAGAATTCAGTTCCTATAGTTGTAGGACTGAGTGCTTCAGTTTCTTGTTGGCTGTCCGCTAAAGACCAATCTTAGTTCTTTGTCATGTGGGCCTCTCAACATAGCCTACCTATAACATGGCAGCTTACTTCTTCAAAGTAGAAGAAAGAGCTGCACTACATTCTTAAATAACATAATCAAGTACACATAATCATGGAAATCATATTACCTTTCTCATGTTTTATTGGTTAGAAGCAAATCACAGGTCCCACCCACACTCAAGAAGAGAAAATGACAGAGGGCCTGAATGCCAGGAAGGAGAGATCATAGAGGTCCCAGCCCCCAAGGGAGTCTGTTCACCACAAATTCTTTGTTCATGTTCATGTTATTGTGTTACTGGGAAGAGAGTGTGATGCTGTTGATAATAAAATTAAAATTTGCTAATTGGAGGAAGGCCAATCCAAATTAGCTGTGTTTGATTTTATGGATGATCTTAAAATAAGTATATTATTTTCACTTGCCTGTAATAACATGATTAATGACTAACAAAGTTCTTGTCTCTGACCTAGATGCTGTTATCAAGAGAATATACTGTTTAAGCACTTACTGCCTATCTACAGATAAACTTATTTATAAGTTACTATCTTTGGTTTACTAAAACAAACTGCTGAATCTTTAATTGGCAACACTATTGTGGCATTTAAGAAAAGTTTCCTAAGAACAGAAGTGATGGCAGAGTTTAATGGTCCTCAAACTTTTGTTCACATATCCTCTAAATAATTTTGAAAAACTGTATACCCCTTGTATATTTTTAAGTTAACATTTAAATTTTTTCATCCTATCTTAAATAGTAGAAATTGATATTATTTCTAATATGTAAATATTGACATTATAAGACAACTAGTGGTTGGGACAACTAGTGGTTGGGTCAAATGTGTATAACATGAATATTGCAGTGATCTAATGCTCACTGCATCCATTTGAGGAATAACTGAACAAGCTTTTCTTTAATACTCTGACATTGTAGAAGGTGGGGCAAAAGTAGGTTTACAGTTGTGAGTATATGAAGCACAATTTATTCTTGTATTATTATTTATTAATTATTGTATTACTTTCCATACAAACAACTGTAAATTTACTTTTGCCCCACCCTTTATTATTCATTCCCTTCCTGAAATTGAATTTCTATTATATTTTACCCATGTATTTTATAGTAATATAATGCTGTTTTATACTTATAAGTCTTTTATTGATCACCTAATTATACATCTCTGCTAAAAACATGTGTATATATAAACTGAAATTTGAAAAAAATTTCTGAGACTATGATGCACTAAAAACAAAAATATATCTTCTGGACTCACCATTGCAGTTTTTCTAATAAATTAATTGATTAAAATAATGTAGATACAACTTTTTATAACTATTAAGCATAATTTTCTGGAAACATCTTTTAAGAAGATGAATGGTAGAGGATTGTTTATAGTACTCACATCAGTAGTTTAAATGTCCTTTTATTTGCTTTATCTCCCACTAATTCGTCCTGATAAAATTTGGGTTGCAAGAAAATTATGCATTTATTTTTGTGAAGAGAGAAAGATGAATTTGAAAGACTCAGCTTTTTGAAAAAAGTTGTTTTATTGATATAGTCCACTAGAATGTATATGTTTATGAGGGTACAGATTTTATTTTTATTTATTTTTCCTTTTTGTCTCTTCACAACTGTATATTGAGGCCCAGGACAGTTACTAGAATATGGCAGGTATTCAGTAAATATTTGAGGAATTTATAAAAGCAAAAATATCTGATTTAATGAAACAGGAAATCACACATGATAAATACTATATTTTCCTAGGGTTTGTGTGAGTGGGTTTCCACGGCAACATGAAAAACAATGGAAAGAACTCTGTGGTCGAATAGTATTGGATCCTGAATTTATGGTGCAACTTCTCACAGGGGTTTATTATGCCATGTAAGTAGGTGGACTATGAAATTGGGAGAATTCTTCCTAATGTTTAGAAACCTAATATCTCTCTTTTTTTCCTTATCACTTGCACAACACTGCGTTTTTTTGCTCCATGATGGACCCATTATCTTATTTTTCTAATATGAACTTGTCTCAGTACTTTTTCATTTTTATTTTTTTTATTATTTAAAAAAATTCTCTCTTGAGGATATGTTTATTGATTTTAAAGAGAGGATGCGGTAGACAAAGAGAGAGAAACATCAATATCAGGAAGAAACATCAATTGAAGTTTAGTTAACATCCTTTACCACAGTTACAAACTTTTTTTTCTTAAGATGAGAACTTTTAAGAATTATACTCTTTGCAATGTCTGTATTCTGTGCCATTGATCTATGTGTATTTTTATGCCAATACCATGTTGTTTTGATAACCATAGTTTAGTTTGAAATCAGGAAGTGTAATGCCTCCAGCTTTGTTCTTCTTTCTCAAAATTGCTTTGGCTGTTTGGGGTCTTTTGTGGTTCCATACAAATTTTAGGGTTGTTTGTTCTATTTCTGTGAAAAATGCCATCACAAATTAGATAGGGATTACATTGATTCTGTAGATTGCTTTCAGTACTATATTTTAACAATATTAATTCTTCCAGTTAATGAGCATGGAATATCTTTGCATATATTTATGTTCTGCAATTTCTTTCATCAGTATCTTATATAAAAACTGTAAGTGTACAGTGTACAAGTCATTTTCTCCTTGATTAAACTTATTCCTAGGTATTTTTTTTATGTAGTTGACTATATTCCTAATTTCTCTTTCTGACAGTTTGTTATTAATGTACAGAAACACAACTGATTTTTGTATATTGATTTTGTATCCTGCTACTTTACTGAATTTGTTTATTAGTTCTAACAGCTTTTTGGTGGAGTCTTTAGGATTTTCTTTTTTTTTTAAGATTTTATTTATTTATTTTCAGAAAGAGGGGAAAAAGAGGGAGAAAGAGAAAGAAACGTGTGTAAGAGAAACATCAATCGGTTGCCTCTCACATTCCCCAACTGGGGACTTGGTCCACAACCCAGACATGTGCCCTGACTGGGAATCCAACCACCGACCTTTCAGTTCATAGGCCAATGCTCAAGCCACTGAGCCATGCCAGCCAGGGTTTGCCTAATTGCTCTTACAAGGACTGTCTAGTACTATGTTGAATAAAAGTGACTAGAGGAAAAGCCCGTTTTCCACTGTTGAGTATCATGTTAGCTGTGGGCTTGTCATATATGGCCTTTATTTTGTTGAGGTACATCCCCTCTATACCCACTTTGTTGAGAGTTTTTATGGTGAATGGATGTCAGATGCTTTTTTGCATCTATTGAGGTGATCATATGATTTTGTTAATATGGTGTCTCTCATTGATTGAATTGCAGGTATTGAACCATCCCTGTATCCCAGGGCTAAACACCACTTGATCATTGTTTGTGGTCTTTTTAATATACTGTTCAGTTAGGTTTGCTAATATTTTTTTGAGGAATTTTGCATCTATGTTCATTAAGGATATAGGCCTGTAATTTTCTTGTAGTGTTCTTGTATGTTTTTGGTGTCAGGTTAATGCTGGCCTCATAAATTCAGTTTGGAAGTATTCCCTTTTTCTCTGGTTTTTGGAAGAGTTTGAGAAGGTTTGGTATTAATTCTTATTTAAATGTTTGGTAATGTTCATCCACAAAGCTGCCTGGTTTTGTTTATTGGGAAGTTTTTGATTGCTGATTCAGTCTCATTACTAGTAGTAATCAGTCTGCTCAGATTTTCTATTCATGATTCACTCTTGGTAGGTTGTAGATTTCTAGGAATTTATCCATTTCTTATATGTTGTCCAGTTTGTTGGTGTATAATTTTTCATAATCCTTTTGGTTTTTTAAAACAGCCAAAATATAACATAAGTAGTTATTAAATTGGAGTCTTGAAATTGTTGAGGTTTCCTTTATGGAAACTGTGTCTCTCTATGTAGTTTATAACCCAGTTTTTCACTAATGCAATAAACAAAGTACCCTAAATATGAACACATGATAAAAAACAATTTATTGAAGAGACAATCTGTAAACTATTTTAAATGTTAATATCTGAAATCTTCATTTTGTTCCTGTAACTAAAAGTGGGATGATTTAGAAATGGAATGATGTGAAAATTGTTGTTGAAAATCTTGTTTCAGAACCACAAAAATAGGACATGAAACAATAAAAGGGTTGTTGTTGAATATTAGAGATATTTGCTATAGATAGTAAACAATCTGCTTTTCCTTAGGTATAATGGACAGTGGGACCTTGGCCAGGAAGTCCTTGATGACATCATTTATAGAGCACAGCTAGAACTCTTTTCTCAACCACTATTGGTAAGTGGTTACTTTTTATTGAACATAACTGTGTCTGTTGAGGGTAAAAATATTAATATGTAACATGAGGCAATCCAAATCACTGAGGAAAAAGGTTTATTCCACAGAAACAGTTGGTTAACTGTTGGAGTGAAGACAAAATTGGTTTAGATCTGTCCTCACTGGTGTGGCTCAGTGGACTGAGCAATGGCCTGTGAACCAAAGTGTCGCAGGTTCAATTCCTAGTCAGGGCACATGCCTGGGTTGCAGGCCAGGTCCCCACTGGGTGGGGCATGCAAGAGGCAACACATTGATGTTTCTTTCCCTCTCTCTTTCCTTCCCTTCCCCTCTTCCTAAAAATAAATAAATAACATCTTTTTAAAAAGTTGGTTTAGAACCTATCCTTTTACCATATATATTATCAAAATAAACTTCAAATTAATTAAAGAATTACATGTTTTCCTTTAAGGAAGGAAAAAGAGAGGGAGAGAAACATCTTTAAGGAAGGAGAGGGGAAAAGGTTATAAATATTTATTCAAATTTCTACAGGAGGAAGGACTTTCTAAGCTCAAGTGATATATATGACAAGTCACTAAAAAAGGTTGATGATTTTTTTGACCATATAAACATCTAAATTCAAAACTATCAGTGTCTTAAAAACAAAATTAATATGCAGTGCATAAAATATTTTCAACAAGCATGACAAGAAAGCCAATTAATATTTTGTTTATATGAAAGATTTTATACTCTGCCACAAAAAATAAATATATCTCCAAAAGATAAAATGATCCATCTAAAACCAAATGTAAATATCCAGGAGTGGGCTAAGGAAGGTGTTCTTTATGTTCCCAGTAGCAGTGTAGCGCAACTCTAAACACCCCTCTGCAGAAGCCGTTCTGTAATGAGTATTTGTTTTGTTTGACCCACTATCCCATGTCTAGCAACATATCCCAGAAAACTACTTTAAATGTGTTTAAAATGTGTTGTAAGCACAGTATTAGTGTTATTTTTTATTTCAAAGGAATCAAAATGTTTACATGTTCCACAGCAGAGAATAATTAAGTTATATGATATTTTCTTGATGAAAATATGTATTTGAAAATTTATATTGAAGAAAGATGCTCGTTTGTGTTAAGATGTAAAGCAGTATACAACTATTTTTAAAATCTAGATGGGACAGATGAAACATACAAAATGCTAATCGTTGTCTAAGTGATTCAACTGTGGATGATTTTTTATTTCTTTGCAATTTTCTGTTTTCTAAACTTTATATAGTATTTTTGTAACAGTATTTTAAAAATATTGTTTATTTTTACTTGCAGCACTTTAAAATAACACTTTTTATAAAAGCCATTTTCTTTATTTTTTTATATTTTAAATTTTTGTTTTCTAAGTCATCATCTCTAATTTTAATCTAAGGGTTACATTAGAACAAATGGATAACAAGATTTTTCAAATTTATAATAATACCTTGTATTTGTGAAGCTCTTTAAATCATACTTTTATCTTTGTAACTAAATTTATTTTATAAATTAAGTAGAAGGGGCATTTCCAAGGCAATGGAGTTAAAGAGATTAGTAATCTCTAGGCCTGGCATAGTTCTTTATTATTGGGATCTCTGAGGAACCCAATAAATAACACTCTTCTTCTCTATTCAAATCTAGAGCCAGATGAGATAAGTAGATAAAATAGTTGGCAGAGAAACAAACATCATCTGTAGTACTAATAATGGCTAAATTGAAAGACTTACTCTCTACCCCTCAGTCTAGATCTTGGAACAGACCCCAGGACAGAATGTTTGAGTTGGTAGAGAAGGCTTGCTACATTCCACTTGTCCTTGTCCGAGTAGAAGAGGGAGAAAAATAAATACTTCGGTTTCAAGATCTTTGCCAGATTAGCACTACCTAATTTAGAAACATAAACAAGTAAATGACAGTTACTCTAAAAAGTGATGAAGGGCAAAAAGTGATGGGACAAAATGCCAGACATATTTGGGGAAAAGTTCTTAATGGAAACCAAGGAGTGGAGAAAAGGCTAATTTTTTTATCAGAGACTAGATTTTGTGTTATTTATCATCTGAAGAATCGGAAACACTATAGTTTTTCTTATGTCAGGGTTCAAATGTTAAACAATTTTTTTTCCTTTGGAATGTATTTTTTCTTTGAAAGTCAGCAACTTCAAGGAATTGGTAGGATGACTGACATTTTTAAAAATAAATTCTCATTTGAAAAGCCTGCCTAGAAGAATGCAGAACAATAAAGATACAAATATTTGGACACATTGTACTTTTATATTTTATAGTACAAGTTTTAAATACATACTCAAAAAATCATTGACACAAAGAAGTGTAGAATAAGTACAAATTGTATATGGGGTGTAAATATGTATAGACTTAAATTATCATTTTAGGTTGCTAATGCCATGAAAAACTCATTACCATTCGATGCTCCTGATTCTTCACAAGAAGGCCAGAAAGTACTTAAAGTAGAAGTCACTCCAACAGTGCCGAGGATTTCTCGGACTGCGATTACAACAGCTTCCATCCGTCGCCATAGATGGAGGAGAGAAGGTGAGTACAGAATCCCTACAGCTCACTCATGATTCAAGTAAGTTTATCACTGTTGTTATAGACTATATTAGAACATAATATTGTAGTTGTCTTTATAATTTAAGTAAAATTGTTCAGTTTTTAAAAATAGCATTAGAAATTTGGTTTAAATGCCTAAATATACTTTAATACAATTTTTAATAAAGTAGAAAGATTTTATTTAGAATGCTCTATGAATGTTAAAACAGAAAATCAAGTTAATTTTTCTTTTTTTGAACTAGTAATAACAATAGGAAAGAAGTTTCTTTAAGCCTTTTACTGTAATGGGAAAAAAAGGTGCATGTGTGAGCATTGTGGGAGAACACTGTGTAACTAGCCAAACTCATGGTATAGTGCAGGTTATTCATGAAATCTTACAAAAAGTTACTATTGTTTTTTAGATTCTTCTCTTTGCTTTTCCTGTTTTAGAAGTGCTGAATCCAGCAGTATTACGTAGTCATACGGTACTTGGATAGTTAACCTGTCTTTCCTAAGAGATATTAATTACCATTTTAATGATCCCTATTTTTCTATCCTATTCATTTGCAAACCTCACATTGTTCATCCTCACATGTGCCTTATGTGTGTGTATGCTGTGCACACACATGTAACTATATAAGTAGCATTTGTGTTTATATCATATCCATATATACATTCTCTTATCTGCCTGGGTCAAAATGCTCAGAAAAGAAGAGAGGAGCATAAAAGCACTAAAATTTTATATGTTGAATCCCAGATGGCTTTGACTTCTCAAACGAGGCTGACTCGAGTATTCCTGGCTCCCCGATCCAACACGGCTCCACTGACCTAGGGATCAAACGTGTGCAAGAGGGGGAGGTGCTGGTGCGCAGGACCCCTGAGCATGGCTCACCGGAGCCCAACTCAGCAGCAGCCACAACAGAGGGTAGGACAGAGATGAGGAAGCAGAAGTCAGTGAGGCAGTTGCTGGAGAAGGATCCTGGCTTTCTAACTCCAAGCAGAACATCTTTCCATTCTAGTGTGTGTTTCTACTACCCCAGAGTATATTAGCTCCTCCTTGCAAAGCACAAATCCCCATATGCCTAGTGCCAGGTCAAGTACAATCTTCAGTTACCATTTGTGCTGGCCTGGAGTCTGCATCCCTGTGTAATCAAAAAATAGCTTGGCATGGCTACTAACAAAGCAGAGGCCTGTCTCCGAAAGGTCTGCAAATGCTTGGAATTTTCTCATTACTGAGCATGTTTATTCTAACATTAGGGAAGGAAAAATGCACCCAATGAACATGAGCCTTATTAGTCAATATAAGTTGATTTAATCCATACAGCAACTTATTCTTTAAAAATACTACGAAGAATTTTAACACATTAATACATTATCTTTGAGAAATTAGACTAAAGTGGAGCCGGCAATTTATCTCTAATCCCAAGGTTGTCAATTAACAAGAATTTCTTATCTCTTTAAAAAGTGAACTAATGTTGATTGGCTTTTTATAATCTGCAGGTCAAATTGCCTGGGTCTAACTAGTGAACTACTTACATCTTTCCTCTATAAATGTACTAGCCTGGTGCACACTACATTTAACATTTACTGTAAGTAATGATTATCTTATATAGCTCCCAAACAGAATTGAAATGTGTTATTTAGAGGTCAGGTATCCAATAGATTCTTGTTTCTACAATGTAGGAATCTCAAAATGAGAGTCATCTCTCCTTTTCCAAACTCCCCACTGTCCCATCTCCTCCCGCCACCGCCACCACCACCACCGCCACCACCACCACCACTATCTGTAAAAGAACACTTCTACCTTATAGGAAAGTATTGATTTGCTGCTTTACATGTGATGCCATAGGAGTTGGCTTTGTAAAAGAGGGAACTGTAGCTTAAGCATTTTTTCACTACTTAATATATTGCTATTGTGGAACCTTTACACTAATTTATCAAATATAGCAAGTAGTTTTAAAATAGGGTACAAATTTTTACTTCAAGACCAAACACACATGAAGCAGTTACTTCCATCTTAAGGAAGTTTCTTGCTCTTTGGTGCATTAAAATTTTGAGCATGCTCAGTAAGAATCTATTGTAAATCAACCCTTTGTTCCCTTGCCCATTCGCCCATATTGACCTTACGTCCTTTACCGGTGTTGCATGTGCATGATCTAGGGACCCAAAGAGTTGGTGCTGTTTTACAGAGATCCTGTGAAAAGTGCAGCCTTCCCTTTTCATTTTTTCTGTATCTCTTTGTTATCTCTGGGAGTCAGTTTTAACTTGTATAAAGGCATAAAAATAAGTGTATGAATAGATGTTGAACCCAGAGTTGATGTAAATTGAACAACATCCTATTTCTTAACATTCTTTTTTTCCTTTTTTAAAAATTGAATTTATTGGGGTAATATTGGTTAATAAAATTATATAGGGTCCGGCACAAGTAACACCCCTTTTCTATTACAAAATCATAAGCATGTAATTCTATAACATAATATCACACTCAAACACACCATATGACATTTTAGGTGAAATGTTCAAATTAAAACTATAAATTATTACACCCATATTATTACCCTACCAACCACGCTCAAGCAAGTGTTACTTCTGCTGGACCCTGTATAGGTTTTAGGTGTTTCTCAACATTCTAGATGACTAAATGAGCCACTTAATGTGTATGTCCTACCATTTTTAGATTGTTGAAGTATTTGTGCTAAATATAGCTATGCCATATTAACACTTGATGATATTCTACAAAGTGTGGGATAAGGTTGAAACATTTCTTTTAGTTCATCAAAAGTCATATACTTTGAAAAAGGAACCAAAAAGATAGTTCCTTTTAAATATTAAAATATTATATTTATATATATCTTATCACTAGTAGAAAATTTCAGTTTGTGAAGGTGGAGTATAGCTACAAGGAAAGAAGAATGAGTTCCTTCATTGTGTTTGAAATTTCTCAAAAATTATTTTGCCTTTATCTAGATTAATTGTAGTTTTAAATCAGTATTAGTAGATACTACATTTAAATGGAGAGGTAGACATAAATGGAAAAGTTCATTAAAAATCCTTTTTGGTTGTCTCTCCTTTGGACCATCAATAGTATTGATACCACTCAGGAAGAAAATCAGAAAGGAAAAAAGTTATGAGGCACAATTACCTTTTGTTTTGTAAAGTTTTTCTTTAAACAGAAGGAAGGAAATTACTAAAACCCATGTAAAGTTTTAGTAATTCTGAAGTTTGCTGGAGCTTTTGGATAAACATTAAAATTGACCTTTAAGAAAAGAAAATCTGTTTTTCAGTATGTTGTTTTAAATAGCTTTACAATTAAAAGTGTATTTAGTGTATGTTGAAATTGAAGGGAATATGAGCCTATCACCTGCCTTTATCTTGATTGTCAAGTAACATTTTATTTGTGACTTTTAAAGCTGGATTTAAAATTATTAAACTGAGGACGCCTGTGATTAAAGTATAGTCAGTGTTCTGCTATACTGAAACAGCATTTTTGGTGTATAAAATATCTGTAGATTCTCTTGCATGGTGGCTTTTATGTTATTATCATCTTTTCTATGGCCATGTTGCTTATGCATCAGATCTGCATGTGGCAAAATTCAGAAGCTAGCACTAAGTCTCTCAGTCTCCTTTCCTAAGTCTGTGTGTACCCAATAATACATTTCTCTTCACTCCTGGTTTTATATTATTGATATTAATTGTGAACCAGTAACTGTCTTTTCTTGGGCATTTGAGAGTTTTTATATTAATTGTAAGTAAGTGGCCGAGATGATATCATATGCATATAATTTAAAGTTTTATTTGAGATACATTATATACTGTTGTTTTGAACAAGGGGTTGAGAGAAGTGGTGTCAGCTGCATTTTATATGGCTTTGCATGATGATTAAAGATTATTAAACTGCTGGATAAAAATAACAACATGCCTTTTGCTTTAAGGATAGCTTATTTCATTTTTCTTTTGAAGGAAGGAAATAAGTAATCCCTATGAGGAAATATACTTAAGAAAATATTTTTAATTTTTCAGGTACTGTTAAATAAAAATTGTATTTAAATATTTCATGTATAGTTTAATTAGGTAACCCTATGTCAAGGTAATATTTATTTAGATTTCTTCCCTAATGTTTTAACTATAATGGTGCTATCTGTATGTAGATTCAGAGTAAACTTCTCACAGTCTGGTTAACATACTTAATGTTGTAGCAAACTGCTATCAGATTTTGAAAGAAGCAAATGTACTATTTTCTAAGAGAATGTTGTTCATACTTTCAGTAAGAGAATTGAGCTTCCTGGAAACCCCAGACTGAATGTATAATATGTGCTTCTCCCTTTCTTAGAAAATCCCAAGAAAAGGACTCTTTTGTTAACTTCAGTTTCTGCATGAAACATAATTGGACATTATAGTATTTTGTGATTATGAAAATTATACATCTCAAACTAAAATTTTTAAATATTATAGAAATACATAATATAGAAAGTAAAAATCCTTCTTAAATATTCCTGCTGGTTCCCTAGCTTGCCCTCTGATAACCAAATATTTTCTTCACATTAATTGGTCAAGAAAATATGGAAACCAGTGAGTAGATATGTCCATAAGACAAAATACAATTAGGAAGTAGCTTGAAATAATGTAAAGATTTTTTACTTTTGGATTAGAAAATTTACTAGTTCCATGTTAAAGGTTTTAAAGCCAATTAGAAGCAGTTAGCTGTTGAGGAAATATTAATTTTTATTGTAGTTAAAAAGGATTTGGCATTTTAGGGATAAATGTTTTTGGCATTATTCTGGGCGACTGAAATTAGATGTCTATTTTATTGTGGGTTAAGGAAGATAGGAGGAAAAATTCTTGTTTTTTTTTTTTAATAGATATGGTCACTTCAAATTGATATGGATATATTATATTTATGATGACAAAATGTTGTGTTTTACCTAAAATTGTTTTGTATTCCTAAACACTGATAGTATATTAAGTTCATTTGTGGATAGTTTTATAAAAGCTGGACTAATTAAAGCTAAATAAACAGAACAAATAACGTTAGAATTCTGTGTAGATTAAGGTTTCTTCCCTTAAATTATTTAGGGGAAGTGTTGATAGCAAAGCCATTGCCAACCTATAGCAAACATTACCCAAGAGATAGTCAGTTGAGTTGTTATTCACAGCTACTGCTTATTTAATTTAGGTATTGCTGAGTCTTTCCGATTTGTTTTTTAGGTGCTGAAGGTGTAAATGGAGGAGAGGAGCCGGTAAACCTGAATGATGCAGATGAAGGATTTTCATCAGGGGCGTCCCTTAGCAGTCAGCCAATTGGGACCAAACCATCCTCCTCTTCTCAGAGGGGAAGCTTAAAGAAAGTAGCAACTGGGCGTTCAGTCAAGGATAAAGAAACAGCCTCTGCCATCAAATCCAATGAGAGCCCTCGAGATTCAGTAGTCCGCAGACAGTATGTACAGCAACCTACTGATTTTAGTGTAGATTCAATTGAGCTGACACCGATGAAGAAACACCTGAGCCTGCCTGCTGGCCAGGTGGTGCCAAAAACCAATAGTTTAAGTTTAATCCGGACAGCCAGTGCTTCCTCAAGTAAATCATTTGACTATGTAAATGTCAGTCAAGCAAGTACCAGCATTGGGGTTGGCACTGAGGGAGTTACTAATTTAGCAGCTAACAATGCTAATCGATACTCGACTATCAGTCTACAGGAAGACCGGCTAGGTCAAGCTGGAGAAGGTAAAGAGCTCCTCAGCCCAGGGGCTCCCTTAACCAAGCAGTCTCGATCCCCAAGTTTCAATATGCAGCTAATATCCCAGGTGTAGTTTTGACATCCTCTCTTATCGTTCTGCTTACCTTTTAAACTGAACATTTCATTGTGCAGGAAGAAACTTCATCCTATATTGTGAAAAAATTGGTCATTGTAGTCAGATTTGATTTAGTTTAGGTATTGTCATACTGTATTTTGTATGGAAACAGCAATAAGGTTTTCTTTCCCCTCCTTCCTCTATCTTCTCTTCACCTATTCCTTGTAAATGTGTTTGTGAAGCAGTATAAAATGTCTGCATTTTCCATGCCTTCCTTTCTCCTTGGGTGATGTGCAATCCATTGTAGGCTGATCGGTCCCATTTCAACACTGTGAGACTGAGGATATGTTAGAGGAAATGGTGTATATGATCCCTATGAAATGATTCTTTAGCTTTCTTAAAAAAAGAAAAAACGGGTTTGTTCTCATAATCTATAAACTATGATTACTGGGTCATATTTTTTTCTCTCTTAACCAGGAGTGCCTCAGAGATTCTGCTATGACTTTGGACTTCTCTGTGTCTGTGCAATCATTTTCTTGAGAAGCATGGGGAAAGGTGATAGACTGCTGCACTTTTTCATTAAAATGAGAGTGGCTCTTTTTTTCCCATCTCCTTTATCTCGAGGACACAAAAGTTTAGTTACTGAGGCATTTAAATCAAGTTGTGTCCACCTCCATTGGAGGGCAGGGCTCTAAATTGATTGTGTAATTGATAATGCACTTTCTCAATGGCTCTATAGTCATTAACTTGTCTTCCCTCTCCCCTACAAGGACATAAGGTCATTTTTGTCCTTGACGTTTGAACAACTAACAAATCAGAGAATCCAAGGGGCATGTTCTATTTTCCAGGAATGACTGACACTTTGGTGCTGGGGTTTTGTGGAGGGAGGGATGGTTTTTGTTTAGCTTGTGTGGGATTGTGTATGTGAGGGGAAGTTTTGATTGGTTTTCTTTCTTTTCCTCTGTGAGTTAATGACTGAAGTAGAACAAGTACGTCTTCAGGTAAAGAGAGGGATTTCTCAACCTACTTTCTGTGATGTCAGACTATTGGAGAAACCCTTTCAGCTGCTTTCTAGATGTACCTAAATTCAGTCAGATATTTTGGATTAAGAAACCTGAAGTCCTGACATATTATATACTCCAAGGAAATACATCAGGGACAGATAATTGGCTGAAAACACTGACGCTTCAATGTGATACATTTTTATAGAACATTTCTACCAGGGGGTACTGACTTGATTTCTCCTACAAGGACCACACTGCCTTTGTGTTTAATGTAATGCAATTTGTGTACCTTCTAATCATATATCTGACAAAGTTTCTCATTTTTATAAAACTTTGAAATCATGCCAGTAAGGTAAATGTTGAATGTATGTAAAGTAGCATTTGGTAACTGTGCTACAAAAATGCATTATTGGTTAAAAAAAATTCTGATTTGGTTGGTTAAGATTTCATTATGACCTTTTCTGGGTCTCAGGTTCTAATACTTGATTGAAATAGAAAAGAATATATTGGTTTTTGAAAATCAGTATATTGTGACTTGAACTGCTATGTGTTATCCTTCCACAAAATACATCAGAATTATTAGTGCTTTGTACATTTAGACATTTTTATTTTATTATTGTGAAAGAAAAATATACTGAATTTATAGAAAGCAAGTATTCTCCTAATTAACAGTTTAAAATTTCATCTCTACCAATTAAAATTACAATAGATTTTGATAAATAAAATTTTAAAATGCTTCATTTTTTTCCATACCTACAAATCTCCCTTTTTTCAATTGTAAGAGGGCTTTTTGTTTGTTTTGCTTGTTTTTTAAGGGATTTAGAATCTTTATAAGGGCAGTGAAATGCTTGTTTGAATTTGGTGGTCTGTAACATTTTTTCAGCTCATATTAAAATGGAAAACTAGAACCTGAACTAGTGTCTATGAAATTGCCAAAGTCCAGCATAAAGCTAAAAGTTGAGAGAGCTTTACTGATTTGTGTGTGTGTGTGTGTATATGGTGTGTATATGTATATATCGCAAAGACATATTTTAGGTATCCCTTACTTCTAATTTAACTAAGAGATGTTAGATAAATGAATTTAAAAGTAGCCAAAATAAAGATCTGTAAAGTGTAAAGATCTGTAACATAGTAAGGAAAGCAAAGCTTAAGTATGAAAGGAAAAGAGCATTTTACTTACCAGGGAGTGAGATCTTAGCCATGGCTGTAGGTCAGTCACTTTTATGGCAGAAATGCCCAATTGATTTAGGAGGCTGAAGAAATGTTTGTATCTAGTAAGTTTTAATTAAAGCACACACACAAAAAAAACCTAATAATATCAAATTACAGGAAAAGCTGTAATAAATATTATAAGATCTCCCTTTGGTTTATTAGAAATCTTTACCTGCAAAGTTGGTTTGAAAACTTTCAACTTAGAAGATTTCACTTATCTGTGTGTATATGTATATATTTTCTATGTATACATAACTCATTAATGTTGCATGGCCTTTAACATTTATGTTTCATTCTCTTAAGAGAGATGATTTGGCCCCAATGAAGAAACACTTAATTTAGTTCAAACTTTACATTCAGGATTTTACAACAGAGTTCCTGTGCAAGATATTATTTAAAGGGAATGAGTTGGTTTAAACAAACCATAAGTCAAATTTTGTAAGAGTTTTGATATTCATTTGCATTATTGGATTTAATAAAAAATAGTTTTCAGATATACAATACTTGTTAAAAATATATGCCAGCAATATTCATATTTTATCATTTAACATCCTTTTGTTTTATACTTCCTTTTTTAAGTCTTTTTTTTTCTTCTATGGAAAAGCTATTTAGGGAGAAAATACTTGTTTTCTATAATAAAATAGTTTGATACCATCTGTACCAGGTCGGATCAAGAAATATCTGAAGGTTTTGGGAACTCTTCTCTCTGATATTAATCTGAAATCACGTTACTAAAAAGCAAACTAGAATCTAAAGTGAGTAGCTAACTTAGAAGTAAGGTTTTTAAATAAAAAATACTTTAGAAGTTGGAGGGGTGGTTGTAATTTGATATCCTGACCCCTATTCTCCTAATTACTCTTCTGTGCCTATTTATTATAGAGTCAGAATTTTTGTGCTAGCCGAGACCCTAGAGATAATCTCGATAGTCTCTTTAACACCCACTCCTCCCACCCCCATATCCATCCTTGGGAAACTGAGGCTCAAAAAGATTGTGACATAATCAAGGTCACATAACTAAGAAGCAGAGCCAGAATAAAACTCCTGTCTGCTGTCAAATGCATATTAGCACCCTACTGCCTCCCTTTACTCGTACTATGGTAAATGTGTCATGTTCTGCAGTTCTCCTCCTCCTGCAGTTCTGTACAGTTTTGGACTAGTATTGGTGAATATTGGACTAGTAGTTGGTGAATATAGCACATTCAGGAAAGTATTAAATCCAGAAAAATGTAGAGTACTAAACATAGATGGGGAAGTGTTAGAAATGTAGGTATCTATACCATAGATGTAAGGATAGATACATTTTTCTTATTCTAATTTATGCCTTACTATTTTGCGCCACATAACAGTGTATGCTGCCATTTTATAGTTGATTATATTGCTGGGGATTTATTTAAGTGCAAAAATAAACCCAATGAAATGGCTTCGATCAGTGTTTCTAGCTATTTTAAAGTAATTTTTGAATCAGCCAGCTTTCATAGTCACCTAGATAGCAAGTTAATTGTATTGCACAATGGAGTATTGCAAAGTAAAGATGAAACTTGATTCCATTAGTTTCTAATGTCAAAAGATTGTGCTTAGAGCAGATAGATGAAAGCAACATGTCCTTACGTGGTTAAAAAAGGTTTGTAGTGCAAAGCTCATGATGTGTAATGGAATGGTGACCATCATGTTATTCAGAGTGTATATACCATATAAAATATCTTAAATGTGGTAGTTTCAGCTATATAAGCTCAATATTTTCAACCTATATTCTTAAATTCCACTCAGTAGCTTTAAATTAATTATAATTATTTATTAGACACTGGAATACTGAAAATAACTTTTCAGATTGGTTTGTTTGCACTATATTTGTGAATATTTTAATGAAGTAGGGTGTTTTTCCTACCTCACTTGGTGAGGTTTGTCATGGGTCCATTTTTGAGTACTTTAGTTGTTTGACAATCAGTTGTCTCATTTAATGCTCTGCATGTTCATTTGTAAATAAAAAAAATTAGTATGTGTCTCGGGATAGCACACTATTTATACAAACACTGGCAAGGAGGATCCCTCCATTTCTGACGTTGGATTACAAAGTAAATTTTGTTCTATGTTTTTTTTAAATCAGTATTTCAGTTACATGTTTGTCTTTCAGTTTAAAAATATTTAATAGGTCATGCCAGTGGTTGGAAAATCTATAAGAATTTTAGAGCAACTTTTCTATACTATGGCTATGTTAAACAGTCTGAACATGATGTTTTTTATCTCTCAAGTTGAATGATTATTGTCAGTTGAGACCCTTATTTGTAATACTTTTAATTTTTTCTAAAGTGCTTTTTAGAAACAAGTTGTCTAAAAACAACTAGATCTTATTGATAACTGAAATTCTAAATATTAGCATATTTGCCAGATTATAAGAAGATGGAATGCAGTGTAAAATTGTTAACAGTGCAAATAAAATCATGTGTTACTAGATTGGCACGATTTTCCGTTGCCAAGGTGTTTATGTTGATTAATGAAAGACATAAATTTTAGGTATTACCTATGTTATGTACCTAATGGGTATATCATACTGGCACTGAACATGCATAGAAAATACTATTCATAGAATCATCCAATGTGTATGTACACTGTACTGGGTTTTTGACAGTGCCAGAAATTTGTGTGGTGGTCCCAAGCCATGAGAATCAGGGGAGTCATCATCACCTAAACATCTCCTGCCCATGTAGGCACATTTCTTCTAAATTTGACCATAAAATCACACAATTTTGGTGACTTCTATCCCTTCAGTATTTTTGTAGTCTTAACCGTTGGTTACAGGAGAAATTTATGCAAGACAGACAATTCAGGATAAAAGTTAGCAAGAAGCTAGGAATGATGTGAGTGAAATACCTGGCAGCATAGTGCAGAAATGCAGGTTCTGTGTTTTGCTTCTGGATTTTGAGAAAATGTTTACAAACTAAGACACATTCAAATGTTTGCTATTATATTATTATGTTTAATATAGACTTTACCCAAAAAATATAATTAGGTGTATCTTAAAGTATAAATGAGTCTTTTTAAAATAATTATGTATCTGGAAGTAGGTAAAATACAGATTTTTTTTAATTTTCAAAGAGAAATTAACTTAATTGGACAGTCTATCCCCAACTACAGAATTGATATCAATCTGGTTTGCTATATTTGTGTCAACAGCTTAGTGTTAATTATATCAGAGGAAATTCTTTACATCTTCATTGATTTCAAAATTTACCAAAGAAAATGTTTCAACCAAATATAATTTTAAAGTACCTAACTGTTAAGGAATAAGATTAATTTAACCTGAAGGATGGCTTTCTAGCCCTGAGGGAAATAGATATTAAAATATTCTTTGATCTGGAACATAGATATAGAGTACCTACAAGATTCCATTTGAGGTTCTTGTTATGTTAGTAAAATGTCAACATTTACACTCCCAGCAAAAATACCAGTGAAAGATTAAGTCAAAATATTATTGCTGTGGCACATTTTCATGTCTCCTTAACTCAAATTAAGGATTCTGTTCCATCAGTATTGAAGAAAAAAGTGAGCAAGTTCCTAAAATTAGTATATTGTATGATATTGTGACTTTTTAAAAGTAAAATTGAGGGGGAAATTATGGAGATGCCCCTTTTCAAGTGGGCAGTGGCAATTATTTCTAGTAAGTATGATATGGGCTAGAATGGTATGTTTACATAATATATGTATATGATCACTCCGGGTGTATTTTTACTTTGCAGAAAAATATGATTGGATTATGAAAAACTGAAATACTCCTTTTTAATGTATAAACCAATAAGAACTAAAAGATTTACTTAAACTATTAAATAATGATTTCTTTGGAAAATATGAGGTGTAATTATATATTAACTGATGTTCCAAACAGGTTCTATGTATTATTTTTTCCATATCAGATGGTAGTTAAAAAATAATGATGTATCAATCAGCTATCTTAGAAAGAGAAGAGTGGCTTTCTAACAATTACTAATGTAGGTTTGTGGGGTTTATCATCCAAACTGAATTGGGAGATAATGCTGAATGCCCCTTTTGTTTAAAATATTTGTAATAAGTACATCAACTACTTTACAGTAAATCTTTTTTTCTTGTTCTAAAAATTATGCTGGCTTTACATTATTTAAAGTGGTTAAATAAAACAGTATTTATGGTGCAATGATTTTCCCCATAATAATTGGCTCTCATGCTACAATTTCTGAAGTTTTACTGCTTGAGCATTATGTAGTTTGATCTCTGTGAAAATGGACAAGTAAAAAGGAGATAACCCACTTTCATATGTTTGCTTCATAAAAGGATATGGAACGTATGGATCAGCTCTCTTTAAAAAACAAAAAAACAGCATCAACCTATTTGGTATAACTTCCCAAGTACTCAGAGAATAGTGCTGGTGAAAATTTAAATATGATAGGCATGAAGAAAATATGATTTCTATTGACTGATGTCCTTTCAACCTAGGGCTAGTGAAAACCTTCGTTTCTTTTTCAGAGCTGAAGAAAAAAACCCGCACATTTAAGATCATATTTATTGGTGCATGTAAGCCATTATCTTAACTGTCTTACTGAACTGGTTAATACTGTTGATTGTTGAAATGTGAAATGTAGTCACTGTTGACCTGTAAATATCTTCCAGAGATGAAAAAATATTTTAAGGTATTGTAAATAAAGATGTATAAAATTCAATATCAGTCTGCAATGCAGAAACATATCTAAGATGTTAAATATTGTGTTTCTTGAGAGATGTGTAATTTTTCCCTAGTTGTATCTAGTTACATTAAGAATGTAAATTTTCTTTTGTACAGTATAAAAATACAGCTTTATTTGCTTTTGACTGGATTTCTGAGTTGACTTTATATCTTAACCTAAATTTCATATCTTAAAATGATCCTTCTTTGCATTTTTATTGCATGTTTTCACAGCAGTTTATTTTATTTATATCTGAACCTTTTATTCATGTCACACGCTATTAAATAAAGGTAATTTATAAAATTATTAGGGCAATATATAAAACTACATTTAGCACTATAAAATAAGAATGAACATGCCTATAAAATAAGAAGGCAAAAGTAAAATTAATACATAAAATATTGCCATATGTTTCTATATGTTATTGAGATACAAATTTTATCTCTGAATGTTAAAGTAGCTAATTGCAGAGAAGTACAATTAAGTATGTGATTTCCATGTATTCTTAAGATAAATCAGTTTTGCATGTGAAGCACAACTGTTTGTGTTGAAATGTTAGAAAATTTTCTTTCATGGGCTCTTATAAGTAGCCATCATTATTACAGTACCACGTACACTCTCTTCAGCAGTGTATTTTGAAAGTGCCTATTTCCTTTCATCATTACACTTCATCTTCCCCACATTGTGTTTTCTAATGTGTACTTTAGCCTTCCCTTGGAAAATGGTTTAATGAAGGGCTGAGCCCCAGAGCCTCTTTTCCTTTCCCTTTCATGCACTTCCTAGAAAAATCTCTTTTGTGCGTTTCCCCCTGTGACTATTATTCCCTACTTACAGGCCCAGGCTTTGTTCTCTCTTTTATTCATATTTAAGCAATACAAAGTACATTGGGTTTCTTTTCTTTTATGATTCCAAAGAGATAGGAAGGGAGGGAGAAAGAAAGGGAGAGAAACATCATTGGTTGCCTCTTACACACACCCTAGCTGGGGACCAAACCCAACCACCCAGGCATGTGCCCTGACCGGGAACTGAGCCCTCAGCCTTTCAGTTTGTGGGATGATGCCCAACCAACTGAACATACGGGCTAGAGCACGTTAGGTTTCTTTATATCCGTCATGGATTAGCAGTTCCAGAAAAGGATGGAAGTACACAACCCACCAAGCTTCTTTTCTCCTTGACTGTGGATCTGCGTTAGTTAGGAAAATTACATTTCACCAGTTGACAGTTTAAGATTTTTCCTTTTATTAAATATGTAATGGGCCATGGCTGGGTAGTTCACTCAGTTAAAGCATTGTCCTGATACACCACAGTTGCAGGTTCGATTCCTGATCAGAGCACATACAGGAATCAACCAGTGAGTGTATAAGTGGAGCAACAAATAGATCTCTCTCCTTTCCTCTCTAAAATTGATAAATAAAAATGTAATATTTGCTCATTTTGAAAACCTTAGGAAATGTAGAGAAAATGCAAAAAGAAGAGGCACTAAGATATTGTAATAAATAGTGAATATTAATAAGATATTCCTCCATATACAACTCTGGTTCAGGTCACAGTATTTTATGGTCCAAAGATTTTTTTCCATGTGAATTACACAATAACAACTAATATTAATTGGGTGCTAGGATATGTCAGGCACTGTTCTAAACACTTTAAAGAACATGCATTACTTCAATAATTAATACAACAATATCCAATAAGTACTATTATTCTCCTTTTATAAGAAAAGGAACATGCATCTGTCTAGGGTCACAGAGCGGGTAAGTGGTAGAACTGGACTTGAACCCACTCAGGCTCATGGACTTGTGCACTTAACCTCATAAGATACTGCTTCACACAGTGTTGACTTTTCTCAAGTGTTAGTACACTTGCCCTACTCCCACAAGGCCAAGGCCCCTGGGAGGGATAGGAAGGAAGAAGATTAGATGTCAGTAGAGTTAGATTGCTAACAGGCAAACTAAATCCATGAAAGAAGCCCTGAAACTCCAAACCTCTACACATATACAGTGGTTCTAGTTGTGTATTATCCTTAATTATGTACTATTCTGGGGAGAAATGAGAAAACAGTTGTTCTATGGTTCATATGAGGAACCTCAGTTGAGAAAAGCTACTTTAGATCATAATAAGACAAAGTAGACTCCCCAAAATAAAAAATATTTTATAGGCCCTTGGCCCCAACCACCCCAGAAAAAAAGCTTCCAGATAGCTTGGGAGGAAATCAGAATTTTGTTGGACTTGCAATTATTTTATGATTTAATGTTATTTTAAACTACATGGGAAAGGGTAGAAAAGTCATTTTTAAAGCTGGCCCTGGGACATAATCCAAATATATAGGATGGATATAATCTGTGGAAACAATCCTTGTTTTGTTCACTTTAGAAAGGGATGGAACTAGACTAAAACTCACTGGGTGAGCCAGTCACTTCTGGCACTTTATCTTAAGGAACAATGTTTGATACACATTAGGAATGGAAACATTTTTTTATGGCCAGGTCATGCTGACTAGTACAGGTTTAGGAATTTTTTTGTTTTTGTTTTCACACTTTTTTTTTATTGTTGTTCAAGTACAGTCTCCATTTTCCCCTCCACTCCCCCCAACCCCAGCCATCCCCACCTCCCACCCTTGATCCTGCCCTCCTTTGGTTTTGTCTGTGTGTCCTTTATACATGGGTTAATACTTTCTGTATTAAGGGGTTCCTGAAAACCCTTCATATAATTTAACTAAAAACACTGTTACAGTCAAAAAGATTTTTCATTCTCTCCAATATTGAGAAGGAATTTTCCAAACATAGGTTTCCCATTTTCTTAAAATAATTACAGAGTTTTAAATAGTCTATAGATAATTAACTTATTAACAGCTGTTACAGTTTGGAAATAGAGCCAGGTGATCAAATGTGTTTTGTTTTGTTTTTTAGTAAACTAACTTTATAATATATCAAAATAAAATGCTTTGAAATTTAAAAACAGCTGTTATAATCATGGCTTTTAATGTACACTAAAACTTTCTGTATTAAAGATACTTTCTGTATTAAAGCTAGTTTCCCAGAATTTGAATTAGTATGTGTACATTTTTTAAGGCTTACTTTGCCAAATCTTTCACTAATTTGTGTGTCCTATATGAGGGCCTCATCACCTCTCATACCAGAAAATCTGGGAGAAGCCCTGGCCAGGTAGCTCATTGGTTAGAATGTTGTCCTAATACACCAAAGGTGCAGGTTCAATTCCCAGTCAGGACACATACAGGAATCAAACAGTGAATACATAGAGCAGTGGAACAACAAATCAACATTTCCCTCTCTAAAACAATTTTTAAAAATCCTGGAGTAAAGTGGGCTCTGGTTACTGTATTCTCCTTTATTCTTAGATGTTCAGACAGAAATAATCACTTCTCTCCTGAGTATGGTTGAAATCAAATTGGCATCTTTTTAAAAATCTCTGAGTAAAGAAAAAAGAAAAGGAATAAAGAAAATCTGGGTAGAAATTATTTGCTAAGGCATCTGCTTCAAGTATGTGTTTAATGTATAGCATCTAGGTCATTTCATATCTGACAAAAAATTTTTTTTAGATTTTATTTTTTTCTTTATTTTTAGAGAGGGGAAGGGAGGGAAAATCGATGTAAGAGAGAAACATCAATCAGTTGCTTCTCAAACATGCCCCGACCAGGGACCAAACCCATGACCCAGGCACGTGCCCTGACTGGGGATGGAACTGGTGACCTTCCCCTTTGCAGGACGACAACAGCCCAACCAACTGAGCCACAGTGGTCAGGCCATATCTAACAAGAATTTTTATTGTCAATTTTTCATTCCCCCAGCTCAGTACTTCTCCCTAGCTGCACATTAAAATCATCTGGGGGATTTTGTTTTTTATATTTTCATGACCAGGGCACATTCAGACTCTGGGATTGTGATCTGGCATCAGCAGTTTTTTAAAAACTCCCCGGATAATTCTCATATGCAGTCAGCATTGAAAACTCTCTTTAATCCTTTAACAATCTCTGACCTTCATACCTAAGCTTTCCTTTTTCCTGTGTAACAATATAAGAGATATTAATCCATTCCATAAATATTTTAAAAATAGAGTAATTCTTACCAATGCTGAAATCTGCTTTTGTTATTCCATTACTGAACACTATACACATCAGTACAATTTCAATTGGCCCCAAATTTAAGCTCCCAACACTTTGAGGTCCTTGAATTTCTTGGCCTGCCCCTTTTCTCATTCCCTTTGGTTTCTGTTCCAATCCTTCATCACTTTATGTATCACTTTCTCAGCAGTCTCAACTCCATGAAATGAAGGCCATCAAGTTAGGATATTCTTAATTTCCTGCTCTCCCCTGCCACGTCAACTATTTCTACAACTATTCTCATCCCCTTATTACCTGTCTCAGAAGATAAGGTTTCTTGCTTCATTTCTTATTTTACTTAATATCTGTGGGCAGTTCTCATTTTTTCTCCTCTGGTTTTAACTTACATGTTGATGATCCCCAGATTTCTCTTTCTAGGTCTTGACCTCCTGAATGAATTTCAAACTCATATCTAACTGCTTGCAGGATAACTGTATATCCCTCGGCCACATCAAAGACAAAATGCCCCAAGCCCAACTCGGTTCTTCTCCTATGCTTTCACTGTATCTGTAATCTCTTTTACAGCATACTCTGATATCCAGGCAACCCAGCTAGAAGCCTGGGGATTATCTTTCCTCTTCCTTACCTCTATATTCAGCCTCCAAATTCTATTAATTTTGTCTTTTCTTCAAACCCATCCTTACCTCTCCACTTTCACTAGTACAACTACAACTTGTGTCTTCATCTTCATATCCAGATTGCTGCGATAACCTCCTTACTAGACTCCTTGTTCCTCTCAAATTTATGTTCCTTAGTGTTTGATATAAAACACCTATCAGTCTCTGGGTATAACCATTGAACCATTATTCAATGGTTCCATCAGAGGATAAAGTCTATGTTCCTTAGCCTGAGACTTACTTCACCCAGCCCATTTCCTCCTATCATATTCTTACTTCACTTAAGGTTGAAGTAACATCATACTGCTTTCTACTACCACACCCATCCAGTTTGTATTACCATACTTTCTTCCTGAAATCCTTTCTCCACCCCATTCTCTATCTTTTGAAGCTGGATATGTCTCGCCTCTGCT